AAATGTTTCTGAGGCCCAGAGTAGGTCACTGGGGAAGGTGGTAACAACAGCCAGTAAGTTGTTGGAAATAAAACTAAAGATCATTGACAGTATATACAAAGAAAGAGCACTAAATAAAATCATGATAGTTAATGATTGTCATCCTTTATCATACACCTTTCAATCGTTATCATCAGGTCATCGATGTTGTGTTCCCAGGTGTGTAAGAAATAGGAAAAAATATAATTTTTACCCCAAGCAATTAAGTTTTTAAATTCCTCTTACCTTAGTTGATGGCTAAAAGACTGGATATTTATTTAAAGTAGGGGTACCATGTTTTTAAATGATTTATAAGTAAGAATTATTCGCCTTTTGATATTTCTCTTTTTTTATATATATTTCCCAAATAAAGTTTAACAGAGCAAATACATTTTCACAGTATGTCTGATAATATTTTTCTTCTGGAGAAGTATTATTTGTTTTCCTTCAGCTTGAATAAAAGCAGTTTTAAATTTTTTAAATCCATTTTATGGTCAATATTATTAGCCCATTTAAGCTAATATTTATTCTATAGTCTACAGAACAAACCATTGTCATACAATAACTTGCCTAATTACCCTAACCTGCCTAGTTAACCTAAATAACCTGGTTAAGCCTTTAAATGTCACTTTAAGCTGTATAGAAGTGTCTTAAAAAATATCTAGTAATAGTAATATTATTTACTGTTATCATGGCATGGTTATTAGAAATGAGTTATTAAAACTATTATGTTTAGAAATGTGTTGAAAAAAAATTATCTCTCCGTTAAACAGAAATTGGGGGAAAAATATATATATATATATATATATATATATATATATATATATATACACACACACACACACAAATTGTGAAATGTCAGAAGTGTCTCCTTAAGGGTATGCTGCAAATTAAATTTTTCTTTGAGGACAAATAAAGTTAACTAACTAACTAACTAACTAACTAACTAACTAACTAACTAACTAACTAACTAACTAACTAACTAGTAGTTTTATATTAAAGTAAAATTCTATTGTCAGAATGTGTATCATTGTTTAATAGATCTGTTTCCTCTGGTCTCTAATGCCATTTTTTTCTGTGACCTTTAATGCAAATGATGGTGTGCTATGCAGTCTATGGCATTTTACCCATCCTATCCCCTAGTCAAATCATGGGCAGCACCCAGACCTCTTCACACACCCTCACACATCAGTCACGTTTGCATACAAGTCATTTGTGCTTTTCAGTAATCGACACCTGAGCAAGTTCAGCAATTATTATTTAAGCCATGTTTTCATACTCTTTTTTTATTTATAGCTCAAAGGCTATACTGCTTTCAATGAATGCTGATTGGGAGCAATTGCGTGATCACTGATCAAACCAGATTGTATCTCTTTATAAAACAATTCCACTGATGGCAGCTATTGGGAATCTGGAGGGCTGGGAAGGGTTGAAAATGCCTGGAGCAGGTGTGCAAGTGATCTCATGGCATTCAGACAAAAACAAATTGATTGAAAAGACATTAATCAGCTCAATCAAATCTGATTACATCAAACGAATGCTGTTGGCTACTTGAAATGTTTATGTAGCAGGTACGCCTTTGTTCTGACTGCTTTTACTATGATTCTTTTGGTTTGTTCCTCTTCAACCACACGAGTCAAACTGACCTCCAATCACTTTTGACCAGAATGCAAATAAGCTGTTTTCAACTGCATAGGAAACTTCTGTTGATCACAGATTTTGCCTGACATTAGTGTTCATTATAAAATGCCTAATTTTACAAGGGTGTTTTTTATATTTGTGCATATTTCTGTATTCACAAAAATATGTATATGTAGTCTCTCAAATTATTTCATTTTATTTTCTCGTTGAACTAAAGGTATAAAATACATCGCTTGGGCAGCACCTTTTCACAAGTTACACTTTAGTACTGTTGTGCATGCTTTACTTACTTTTAAAGGCATAGTTCACCCAAAAATGAAAATTCTGTCTTCATTCACTCACATATCACTTGACCCAAAGCTGTTTGAGTTTCTTTCTTTTAATAAACACGAAAGATTATATTTTTTATTAATAAACCAACACTCACTACTCATCATTCACTTGTCACAAAACTGCTTGAGTTTCTGTCTCCTGTTGAACAGAGAGGAAGAAATTTTTTAAAATACTGGAACCTAGAAACCATTGACTTCCATAGTATTTGTTTTTCTTACTATCGATGTCAATGGTTACTACATTTTAGCTTTCTTAAAATTGTATCTTCTTTTATGTTCAGCAGAATAAATGTATAATGCTGCGTTCACACCAGATGTGGAAAAGGCGTTAAGCGCAAGTGATTTACATGTTAAGTCAATGCAAAGATGCGAATAGACATCCTGTGGTGGGATACGTACGAATGAGGCGATTCACGCAAACGAAGCAGTGTGAGTTCATCGTTTTGCACAATTGACATGCTTAACACACCTATCGTGTGTTTTCCACGCATTGATCGAGTTTGAAAATCTATACTTCAGTGGACTTTCGCAGTGCATTAACCAATCAGGAGCTTGCTCTTGTGGGTCGTGATTATGACGTAGCACCTGTTGTAGGTGTCCCGTGAGAAAATCCACCTGCCACCACCGATAACAGTTCATCAAACTCAGAGGAACTCAAGGCTCAGTCAGAAGCTCCGCTGAAAGCTTCCAACATCCAGGTATAGGTTTTGGAGGAGTTTATAAACTCACAGAGCTGTGTGCACCTCTGAATGGATTTAGTGAACTCAGACTCAGCTCCAAACGAATCAATGCTGTTTTTCAGACTTCATAAAGAACATAAACACAGCTCTACTCTCAATAAAATCCATGTTAGCCATTTAGCAATGAAACTAGAGTCTCCTGGCAGACCATGACTCAAATCCGCGTCTATTGTGAAGTGAAGTTGATGCACGAATGAAAGCGGATTTGACAAGCGAATAATGCGAGTAAACTCAAAAAGTATGCGCATCTATTTACGCTTGAATAGCATGATTTATCCGTATATACCGCGTCTAGTATGAACACAGAATAAAGGTTTGGAATCACTAAAGGTAGGGTAAATAGTGTGTAGGTTTTCATTTTGGGGTGAACTGCCCCTTTAATAAACCAATATTAACTCTTTAGGTGCAAACTACCATGCTAAAACTGGGAAAAAAAACTGGGAAATTGAAAAAAGTGTTTTCAATACTTTACAAATGAGGTTTAAGTTCACCATCAACATCAAAATCAACATTTTCTCAATATAGGTAACATTTACCTTGACAGTCCACATTTCACTAACTGTAACTTTGAAACTGATCATCCAGACCCTCTATTTTTTCACCATTCCACGATTGCTGAATCCAATGCTAAATCATCAAAACGTCTTTTTTTTTTTTTACATTTTGTGCGATCCTGAAAAATTATTAATGTAAACGCAAAATAATCACAAAAAAGTAAATATCTCATAAAACATCAAATTCCAAACCATATAATCTTATTATATTTGTTTCAGTTTGCAATTTATTGTTTTACATGACTTTTAGACGCAGCGCATGTGATGAACTTGAGTGTCTCTTGAAAAATTACGTCTCACCTGAGACCTCACAATCATTAAACTACATAGGATTGTGGGCGGGGGAGTTTTCAGCCTGTGCAGTAAGCTCGAGTGATTTACATGTGAAGTCAAAGCAAACATGGGATTAGACATCCTGTGGCATCCATTTTGTGCTTTTGACCCGCTTCAGATGGCAAAAGACAGTGTGAGCAAGCATCTAACAAACAAAGCAATAGAACAACTAAATAGAGATTGGTTCACGATTGATGGCCGCTAGACGTGCCCCAATTGAAGGATATCATTTGTGCTTTACATGTATGGCTGGTATTATGATGTGCGTCAATTAGATAAATTATTTAGTTTACCTGTTTCCCTGTAGTTAATGAGAGATTCTTTGCCACTGACAAGTTTTACGGCAACTTGTGTTAAAGATATATTATGGTAGGGGATGCTCTAACGCATATCCTAAGTGAGTTGCATGTCAGATGCTCCAGGGAGTGAAATCTGAGAAAGAGAAAGTAAGATTGTGGTTAAAAATAAGAGTTATACAACCAAAGTTGGCTTAATCCCTAACATTTTAGATCTTTGACACGCTTTGTCAATGTGTCAAATTGCACACCTAACATACTGTAGTAGGCTAGCTGATATGGTAAATAAGATTTATAAATATATAAAAATTATATATATTTATTCATTTTTGCATTTTGATTCTCAAAATTGTCCACAAATTTCTGGAAATTGTCACCACAAAATCAGTCAATTAAAAAAAAATCATGAAAAACTAGGGGGTCTGATTATCATATAGTAATCATTAGACTATAGCACTATTTATAGTAACTCTCTGCTTAATATCTGCTATCATTTTCATAGACCCCTATAGGAGACATTGTACTTCCAAAAAGTTACTTTGCAACTATATCAGCTTTTTCCATTAACATCGATCTTAAACCTTACCCACTAATATACACAAGTTGTGCGTTATAATGTAAAAAAAATAAATAAATACTTTTAAAACTTATTGTAAGTGTTAATGTGTTACTTCATTGCTGACTCCTTATATATTCCAAAAAATTGAAATGAAATTTTGGTTAAACACATTGGTTTCCCAAATCATGTGTGTCTTTTACCAGAAGGGAGGGGGTATTTACATGTCTGTAAAGAATGAAAATCAAAACGGCTTCTGCTTTACATAAAGATTTACAACTACCTGAAGTACCTCACTGAGCAGAACCTCAGCTCTCAAGGCTGCATTTGACAGGACGTGATGCAGATGTATTGTAATTCTGTCTCCAGGGGGTGTTACGGCAGGGCAGGAGGTGTGTGCAATGTGGGGAACTGATGTACGAGTCCCAAGGATACAGGTGAGACTAATGGCCCCACTTATCACCACTTAACATGTAATACAAACCAGAATCCTTGACCTTTTGTGTCACTGTTTGCAGTTCTCTAGTGGGATGTCGGTGTTACACCCCACTTACACAGTCTGTTGTTAGTATGGTCGAGAAGTCCAGTGAGAGATTTGATAAACAGATGGCCGGGCGATTGGGAGATATTGATTTTACTGGTGTCAGTCGAACCAGGGGCAAGGTAAAAAAAGAACATATATATTTACAAAATCACAGCGCTTGATGAGTTAAAGCATGTGCACGTTACTAAAATATTTGTCAGTATAGTTCGTAAGGGTGACCAGCTCCACGGATCCAGCTGAGATCTATCAGATTTTGACTAAGCAGTGGGGTCTGGCTCCTCCTCATCTGGTGGTGGCACTGATGGGAGGTGATGAAGTTGCTCAGCTTAAGCCCTGGCTGAGGGACACACTCAGGAAAGGCCTCGTGAAGGCAGCACAGAGCACAGGTGGATAATTTATTGGTCATTTAAAACTAAAATCGCAATCAGCTTTCGTCACAAAACTCTAACACTTGTCCTGCATAGGGGCCTGGATCCTCACCAGTGGTTTGCGCTTTGGCATCACTAAGAATCTGGGTCAGGCCGTAAGAGACCACTCTCTAGCGAGCACTTCCCCAAAAGTGCGAGTTGTGGCTATTGGAATTGCCCCCTGGAACATGATTCAGAACCGAGATCTGCTGCTGTCTGCAAAGGTGAGAACTGCCCGTTCAAATGAATTCATTATCTGACCTAAAGATTTTGAGAAAATGCTGTAGAAATTCTTTTGATTTTAATTCCATCACCCAGTCAATAGGCCTCATCCACCAAGCATTTTTCTGAAACTAATAATTCATTTTTATTCACTAATGTTTTCTTATTTGGAGTTCTGGGCTCTATGCACAGCTAGTGTTTTCAGCCTATGATGAGCTTCCATTGAAAGGTTTATGTGACTTTTTTCAATTTCATTCGGTTCCTTTTACAGCATTGATGTTGTATTGTAATTAGAATATAATCAGTTAAATAGATTTAAGCTTGCATTTGGTTGTTAAAGCATATAAAGAGACCAAAGACTGTTTAAATTCAGGCATCGCCATTGATAGCGGTCTAGCACAGAAACATTGAAAATACTGGGGTAAAATTAGTTTCCATATTTTAAAGACATGCTGCAGAAAAATACAATTTAATGCAGAGCTTCTTGTTTGGTTTGATACCCACTTTATATTGTATCTCAATCATGCCGTGAAGATCACTGTTTTTTTTATCACCTCTTAAATGCAGTGATTCTGCATGGTATGACAATTCACCAAAAGCCCTGGGGCTGGCTGGCTGAAATTAAAAAGCTATGTGCATATACCTCATAAAGTACAGAATCTGCAAACACTCCAGATTAGTTATATGCATATTTAAGCTTTAATAGTTTGTTCAAAATGATCAGTTATATCAGTTTTGTTCATTTTGTTTAGAAGAAAATTATTTAATATTTTGCTTCAGCCTGATCATCCAGCAACATACCCAACCGAGGATCTCCCATATGGCGCTGTGTACTCCTTGGACTGCAATCATTCACATTTCATCCTGGTGGACGAGGATCCCAAGAGACCTGGAGCCACTGGAGAGATGAGGGTCAAGATGCTCAAACACATCTCTCTGCAGCGAACGGGATATGGGGGTGAGTTGAGATGCATTTCAATCGTCTCTAAATTCTTTTTGTGGATACTTATGCGATACTTTTTGAGATACTTTGCAAATTTGTATTTGTTCTAACAGGCACTGGCAGTATAGAAATACCTGTTTTGTGTCTTCTGGTTCATGGAGAGCCAAGGATATTACAGGTCCCGTTTATTGAAAATATATCTAATGCATTTGAATGAAGATTTAATTAATCTCGCTGTCTGATAATATGCATGTTTTTACAGAAAATGTACAAGAATATTCAGAATTCAATTCCCTGGCTAATACTGGCTGGCTCAGGAGGAGTAGCCGATATTTTAGTGACCCTGATGGACAGAGGATGCTGGGATGCTGATATTGTTCAAGAGCTCTTGATTAACACCTTTCCTGATGGTCTGCACAGCACTGAAATCACTTCTTGGACCAAACTGGTAACAGACAACCTTTGTTTTACAATTATTTTTTTTTAGACTATATATAACATATGCATTTGTTTTATGTACAAGACCTTTCTGTAAATTATATTTGTTTTTTCCATCAGATTCAGAGAATATTGGACCATGGTCACCTGTTAACAGTGCATGACCCAGAGCAGGATTCAGAACTGGATACAGTAATTCTCAAAGCTCTTGTTAAGGGTAAGCAACTATCCAGGCTTAGCAAAATTCTAACAACCCTCTATCATATCTTTCTCCTACTTGAAATCATTAAGGAGCGCTATACACTGATAAATTAAAACAACACAGAGTAATAATCAAATACCATTGATTAACTTCCTAACAAAGCCACTTACTAAGTTCTGAGTTGATTACAGTAGATGACAAGCAATCAATCAGTTCTTATAATCAAATGAGCAGGAATAGCATGAGTGACTTTGAGCAAGAGCTTGAGTGGCATTGACAAGGCAGTGGGGTCAGACTTTTTGTGAAACAGCAAGGCTCCTGTCATCAGTGGTGAGAATTCAGTGGTTCAAGGAGAGAAACACCACACACCGAAGACAAGGTGTCTGGTGGTGGGGCATATCAAACAAAAGCTATCCCATCTGGTCTGAGCCAACAGAAGGTTTATTGTAGCACATGTCACAAAATTTTAATGGTGGTTTTGGGAGGACCTTGTCAAAACACAGTGCTTCACACTCTGCTGAGTATGAGCATGTGTAGCTGCATACCAATCAGTGTCCCTGTGATAACCCCTGTCCACCATCAAAAGTGGTTACAATAGGCACACAAATATTAAAAGTGGACTTCGGGCCAGTGAAACAGTCGCTCAACTGATTAATTCCATTTTCATTTACATCACATGGGCGCCTGTGCTTGTGTGCACTGTTTTGACACCAAAGGGTTTGAAGAAGTGTGATGCTGTGTTTTGCATGGGAAACCATGCGTGTAGCCATTTTTCCAAGTGTAAATGTGATACCCTTCATGCCAGTGGTGTTCCCTGGTGGAAGTATAGCCTCTTCAACACAGTAACACACACTGCAATGTAATTAAGATCATGGTGAAGATCAAGGTTCCCTTGGCTTCCAAATTCCCTAGATCTCAATCCAGCTGTGCATTTAGGATGTACTGGACCAACAAGTTCAATACAAATCGACTCCATATTGCAACCTACAGTTGAAGTAGAAGAATTATTCGCCCCTTTTAATTAGAATTTTTTCTTTAAAAAAAAAAATCCCAAAATGATGTTTAACGGAGCAAGGAACTTTTCACAGCATGTCTGATAATATTTTTTCTATTGAAGAAAAGTAGTATTTTTTTATTTTGGCTGGAATAAAAGCAGATTTCTTTTTTAAACCATTTAAACCATTTCAATATTATTAGCCCCTTTAAGCTATATATTTTTCCGATAGTCTACAGAACAAACAATCATTATACAATATTTTAATTACCCTAACCTGTCTAGTTAACCTAATTAACAAAGTTAAGCCTTTAAATCAGTGGTTCTCAAACTGTGGTACGCGTACCACTAGTGGTACGCGGGCTTCCTCCTAGTGGTACGCGGAGGAATCGCCAAATAATGAAAGAAACAATTAACACTTTTAATCCTTTGATGCGTAATATAACATCCATGTGATCAGCATTGTCTGTTTTGTGAAGCGTACGATCACAACGCTGTGCTTAGAATGTTTATTTTAGAGCATTGTGTCATAAGCTGTTGAAAATCAATTTCCGAAGTTTAAGAATTGATTCTGAAGCGTGATTTGACTGACATGAAAAGTAGCCAATCACAGTCGACCTTTTCTAGTCGCGTGAAACGTAAGGGCGGGACAAAGGCTTTCTGTGTTGCAGAGACAGAGAAAACAACTTAAAAACAAATGTTTTGTTGGAATAATGCTTCTCGGATGTTTTCACTATAGAGATGTCTAGCAGAGTAATTAAACCGCGGACATATTTCCTGCCTTTTTGATGATCTACATACACGTTTCGCTCTCCGACAGCCAGTCGACTCGCCTCTGACCTGTCACTCCTCTAAATACATTCTGAATGGCGGCGCGGGAATGAAGGTATTGCGCAATTACTCATTTCTGCAAATGTGGCGAGTGCTTTATTTTAACACGAGAGAGCGCATTCATGTACGCAAATCGCTAAAACAGATATGCGAGCTCTTAAATAGGCTTTTTTTCAAATGAACTGCAAGTCCTCTCATGATCGCCTGTGTGCTCAGATTGAATACAATCGCGATCTCTCCACTATTAAAGTAGACATTATTTATCTTTATTCCTTGACTAAATTTAGTCAAAAGTATTCAAAGTTATCAAGTATTTAGAATTAGATTGATGCATGATCGATGACAATGCAAATGGTCTTGTTGTCATGCAAAATGTAGTGTTGTCATATTTCAAATACCTCAAGTAAAATGAAGTCATTTGTTTTATTTTTTTTACTGACAGTGTACTTGTATTTTTTTTTTGTATTTTAGATTAAAGTCAAGTGTAAAATAAAATCTACATGTGATGTACAGCTATTTAAGAAACAAATTTGCCATATTGTAAAGAAAAATAGTGTAAAATATGTAAATAAAAGGCTAAATTTAAATATTTTTACCATATACTTTAATTAAACCTTTCAAATCTTGAAAATATTGTTTAAAAAATGAGCAAAAAGTGTCTCTATGGCCTTAAAGTTTATGTGGTAGTTTTACCAGTGCTATTGAAAAAAGATTAATTGTCATGAAAGGAAAAATCGACCACACTTCCTTTGTTAGTGCAAATTCCTATACATGTAGCTTTGAGATTTAAGCAATTAAACCATTCAATCAGGTTTACACTTAAAAAAAAAAGTGATTTCATAATGAAAATCTGATTATTTTTTTTCAAAAGTAACCAACTAGTACTTTTTAAAAGAGTACTTTGTACTTTTACCTAATATTAGTATTATTTACTAAAATTTGTGTTATTTTAGCAGTGTAATAGTATTTTTCCTTGAGTACAAAAAAGATTTCACAAGCATTAAGTGCAGGTTTATTATATTATTAATATATGATTAATAAATATTATTATTATTATTAATGGTTTTTATGTGTATCTATTCCTATGCAATGTTTTATGGGTTGCTGAGAATACATTTCAGGTCTTCAATACATAGCATGTCAATCTTGAAAAAAAATAGGTGCTGGAATTGATTTTCATTAGGCTGTGCCTGTATGAACCCTGTAATATGTACATTTAACATTTCAAGATTTGTCTAAAAGTGTATGAATATGACATATAGCCTATATTTATGAGGTCCAAGCAACATTTCCAGCTTTTGATGAATAGGCTATTATGAATACTTTAGATTTAAGTGCAGCAGTTTTCTTTTTACTTTTTAAGAACAGCGCTATTTTTTATGAACCTTTAAAAGCATATTTCAATTTAAACGTTTTTTTTTTTTTTTTTTTACCTGCAAGCACAGTTAATGTTCAGACTATTTAAAATGTTTAAAGTGACTGACAATAATACATATTCTTAATAATAGGAATTAATCTGCATCGTTTTTAAACTGTGCACGCCTGTAGCTGCTTAATTAGGCCCACAACGCTATTTTTAATACTGGTTAAAAAATAGTGTCGTAAGGTGGTACTTGGAGAGACAATTTTTTTCTAAGGTGGTACTTGGTGAAAAAAGTTTGAGAACCACTGCTTTAAATGTCACTTTTAGCTGTATATTACTTTCTTGAAAAATATCTAGTCAAATATTAGTTGCTGTCATCATGGCAAAGATAAAATAAATCAGTTATTAGAAATAAATTATTAAAAGTATTAATGTTTAGGGTTTGGGGAGGGGGGGTGGGGGTTATAATTCTGACTTCAACTGTTTATGATTTGAATGGTCTGTTGCTAATATCTTCAGATACCTCAAGACACCTTTAGGGGTCTTATAGAGTTGATTTAATATAGGTGGGAATCACCAAAGTCCGCAAAATACAATATTATCACACACAAAAAAGATGTCTCAAAATTGTTGCAAACAATTTATGTGTTAAATTTAAACAAACAAATTACATTTAGTAACATTCAACTTAATTTGTTAGTTTCAATTCTACCCAAATAAATTGTTTACAACCACTTAACTTAAAGAAATTATTAAATCCAAGGAGTCATCTTGATACATCATTATACAATATTATTTCAATTTCTAATGGAATATTATGCCATATATTGTAATTTATTACCTTTTTTTAATCATGTTGACAAGGCAAAAAAGAAAACAAAATAGTTCTTGCCTTTAGTTTTATTGCATTTGAGCTAAATGAAATTTTCAAGCAAACTGTCAAACACTTAAATGAAAACCTGTCATAAACGTTTTAAACACCTTTTCAAGATGCCATTACCTTTACTTTATTTTAAATTGCTGTGTGCTAAAAGTGACCCCACTCACCAAAAACAAGTTTAACACCACCATCTAGTAGACTGTAAAGAAATAGATTTTATTATTCAACCAAATAGTATAAAACAATATTGCTGATATATTGATATAGCTTTTAGTGTATTTATATAGTATTATAGTGGAAAATGTCACAATACCATGTTGTATCAATGTTTTGGCATCTAGATGCGGTTCGTCATTATATTAGGCTGGCAGTCATAATATTTTGACTCATCTCTGTATTCCTGTATAATGTTGAAAAGTTTATAATTGTGTTGTCTTTTTGTGAGCTCAGCGTGTAAGAGTCAGAGTCAGGAAGCGCAGGACTTCCTGGATGAGCTGAAGCTGGCCGTGGCCTGGAATAGAGTGGACATCGCCAAAAGTGAGATCTTCAGTGGAGACGTCCAATGGAGTGTGAGAATTTAACTATTGTTCATTTAAATGTGTATAATTTGCCATTACTTACAGCAGGGAAAGTATTGAACATGACAGTTTTTTTTTCTGAGAATTATATTTCTAAAGAAGCTGTTGGCTTGGAACAAAAAAAATCTGAAAAAATGAGTTCGGTGTAATAACAATGATATGACAAAAGGAGAACATACTTTTTTGGTGATCACAGCTCCTCTCATATGGAGAATGAAGTCACATGAATTGCTCAGTTGTGATTTTTTTCACAAACTTCAACTGGGTGTAAAAATCTTGATGGTTCTGTGGGTCTTGTCTATCAAATTTGATCTTTAATTAGTATTTTATATTGGATTAAAGTCAGATGATTGGCTGAGCCATTCTACAGCTTGATTTTCTTTCTATGAAAGCATTTGAGAGTTTCCTCGGCTGTGATTTGGATCATTGTCTTGCTGAAATGTCAACCTTCGTTTCATCTTCAACATCCTGATAATGTTGTACTGAAGCAGCTCATATTCATTTACAGTGATGAAGGGCAAAGAGTTTCTGAAGAACTACTAAGAGATTTTAGCTGGTCTCTGGGCTTTCACTGCCTTTCAACACCTCCCTTTCTTGATGTGTTCAAAACTTTTCACTTTTTTTCTGTGTCATTGTATTTTAATGCACATAACTTAATTCGTAATCTCATTAGATTTGTTTTCTTTGCATATATGGATTTCTTTGGTTGTTACCAACACCTGGGAAAATTTAAATCAACGGCACCTTTAGAAATATGATTTCTGCCAAAAACGGTGACGTGTTTAATACTTATTTTCCCCGCTGTATTTTGGATTCTCATTCACAAAATGTCTTTATTCTCTTTTAGGCACAGGACTTGGAGGAGGTCATGATGGAGGCACTGGTGAATGACAAGCCTGACTTTGTGCGACTTTTTGTTGATAACGGTGTAAACATAAAGCAATTCCTGACTTATGGCCGTCTCCAAGAGCTCTACTGCTCTGTGTCTGAGAAAAACCTGCTTCACACTCTGCTCCTGAAAAAGAATCAGGAGAGACAGGCTCAGTTGGCCAGAAAACGAATGTCAGGAAACCCCAACAATGAACTAGGTGACCGCAAATTTCGTTTCACCTTCCATGAGGTCTCAAAAGTCCTCAAAGACTTTCTTGATGACACCTGTAAGGGTTTCTACCAAAAACTTCCAGCGGTGAGTAAAGCTTTACAGTGCACTTAAACATAACCCAGTAGGCTGCAGTATGGCTATATGTGATCCTGGACCACAAAACCAGTCATAAATGTATTTTTTTTAAATAATAATAATAATGATAATATACTTTATTAATGACAGCCCTACAAAAGGTGAGTTTTAAGTAGCTTCTCAAAACAGTCCAAAAAAACCAGCATTCCTAATGTTTGTAGGAAGAGCATTCCAAAGTTTGGGTGCACGGTAAGAGTATGCCCTACTGAGACGTGATAAAACCATGGACAAGTTATTCAGTATCAGGCCTTTAGAGGAAAGGACATGTACAGGCTATATTTCGAAGAGAAAATGCTGTTTTAGTTAAATGTTAAAATGGGACTTCAGACTAAGCTGCGCATCAAGGAGAAACCAAGATTTTGCGCATGCGAAGATGGTGATAAGACAGACTCATCAACTGTTAACCGAAATGTATAACCTTTGACGTTAGAAGGAGTGCCAATGAATAAAATCTCTTTTTTTGAACTTTTCAGTTTAAGATAATTATGTCACATCCAGGCTTTAATTTCAACTAAGTAAACAATGACATTGATGCCGATGAATTGGGAGAAGTGCTAATATAGATCTGCGTGTCATCGGCATAGAAATGATATCCGATTCCCAATTTTTCACATTATTTGACCAAGAGGCAACATGTAAATACTAAAGAGAAGCGGACCAAGTACTGACCCCTGGGGGGCATCATGACATAAAGACACAGTGTGTGATCTGTGACGCCTCACATAGATAAACTGTGAACGTCCAGAAAGATAGGATTTAAACCAACTTAACATGTTTCCATTTACACCAGAATGTGCAATAAATAGTATAGAAAAATATTTGGCCAATATACAATAATTACAAATTCTGGAATCTGAGGGTTAAAAAAGTCTAAATACTGAAAAATTGGCTTTAATGTTGGACAAATCAAGTTCTTAGTGATGCGTATTATGAATCAAAAATGTAATTTTGAAATTTACAAAATATCTTCATGGAACGTGATCTTTACTTAATATTCAAATGATTTTTAGCCATAAAAGAAAAACCAATCACTTTGCCCCATGCAAACTCTATTTGACTTTTGCTAAAAATATGCTCATACAATGTAAGATTTAGTTTTTGTGGTCCAGAGTCACATATTACATGTATTTATTTCAGGAAAGGATGGGAAAAGGCAGACTTTTCCACAGCCAGAAAAACCTTCCAGACATGGACAGACGATGTGAGCACCCTTGGAGAGACCTCTTCCTTTGGGCTATTCTGCAGAATAGGCAGGAAATGGCAAACTACTTCTGGGCCATGGTGGGGGTTTTTTCATATTCATAAACCAAGTCAATTTACATGTTCCCAAATGGTTTTTTAGACCTTATAAAAAGAGGTGCTTTAATTTATCACCAATCATTTTCAACTATCACAAATGACCTCAGCATTGTTTAAAGATCAAACTTTATATGGGTCAGTGAGCCAAGAACAATTTGTGTGAACAAAACTGCTGAGAAGCTAAGAGTCAATATTAAATGCTTAAGGCATTCTTGTGGTACACGCTTGTGCATATTTTAGTACAATGCATTATTGTACATCAGTGTTTAATAACCCTTTGTGTGTTTTAGGGCCCGGAGGCAGTGGCAGCTGCTCTGGTGGGCTGTAAGATCATGAAGGAGATGGCCCATCTGGCTACTGAAGCGGAGTCTGCTCGCAGTATGAAGAATGCCAAGTATGAGCAGTTTGCAATGGGTAAGAAACACACCACTACCAGCCACAGACTCAGTAATGACAGAATATACTGTATATAAAGTCAAACCTGAAACTATTTATACCTCTGGGTGATATAAATGGTATTGTGGGGTCTTAACTCATGGAGAAAATACATATTTTCCTTCAAAGCACAATAGAAGGGCTGTTAAACAAAGTAGCTGATCATTAACTTCAGTAACACTGACTATTGATTTTATATTGTATAGACAGGAATTCAAAATACAAAAAAAAAACACTGAGAAATTTGTCAGAATATATTCTATATTAAGTTTAGATGGATATAGTGTAAAATTAAAATGTATGATTGACTATTAAGTCAAATATCCCTTCAATTTGAAATAAGATGTGGTGTTTATTCCTAATGTCTATCTTGACAGATCTTTTCAGTGAGTGTTATTCAAACAGTGAAGACAGAGCCTATTCTCTTCTGGTGAGGAAAACGTGCTGTTGGAGCAAAGCAACTGTCCTTAATATCGCCACTTTGGCAGAAGCCAAATGCTTTTTTGCTCACGATGGAGTCCAGGTTACAGTTTTATTCAAATTCTCACATCAAACCCCTCTACCAGTCGTATGTCCATGATAAACCTCACATGGATTTTGTTTGCACAGGCCCTGCTGACCAAAGTCTGGTGGGGAGCCATGAGGACAGACACCTCCATATCTAGACTCGTGCTTACTTTCTTCATCCCTCCCCTGGTTTGGACCAGCCTTATCAAGTTCAAGTGGGGATGATTTATAATTCTGTATAATGCTTTATAGTTCCATATGTGATGTTTTTTTTACCCCTTTAAAGGGGCAGTTGACTCAAACATTTAAATGATGTCCTTAAGTGCTCACCCACATGTCTTTGAAAATACATAAGTGCTTTGTTCATTTCCAGGAAAACAATTGAAATTACAATATTTGGGATGAAATCTGAGAGCTCTTTGATCCTCCATTGACAGCAATGGCCATGAACTAATTAAAGCCTAGAAAGACATCTAGACTGTCTTCAAATGTTTCTCCAGTTATTAAAAAAGGCAAAGAAACTTTTCATGTATATCCTTCTGCTACCATATAACCGGAGTAGGAATTTTTTAAAACTCTGTTTAGACAGTTGTATTATTAAAATAGCCTTGTTTCATATATTGTGCCACGGAGACGCAGTGGCGCAATAGTGCTGTCCTCACAGCAAGAAGGTCGCTGGTTCGAGCCTCGTCTGGGTCAGTTGGCATTTCTGTGTGGAGTTTGCATGTTCTCCCTGCATTCGTATGGGTTTCCTCCGGGTGCTTCGGTTTCCCCAACACTCCAAAGACAAAGATCAGCAGTTTGACACAGCGCACACCCTGAGCTGATGCTGAAGAGATTGTTTTTGCTCACAAAAATATTTCAATTGTGGAATACTTAAACCCCTAATGACACTTGGACTTTTTTGACAATGATTTTGGTGTCTTTCTGTTTCTTGAAGATTGCATGACCCTTACTGTCTGTGTATTATAAGAGAGGTCTTGAATTTTATTCAAAAATGTATATTAATTTGCGTTCTGAAGATGAACTAAGATCTAACGGATTTGGAACAACATGAGAGTGAGTAATTAATGACAGAAATATAATTCTGGGTGAACTAACCCTTTAACAGGCAATGTATCAGCCTACCTTTTGTGCACAGGTTATTATTAAAGCAAAAAAGTTTAGAATTTGCTTAGAATCAGTAACACAATTAAATTGGTCAACTATTTCTTTTGAGTCTCCATCACATTCCTTGTACTTCAATATGTGTGACAGTCCAGAGGAACAAGTGAGCAAAGATGAAGGGGAGCCGTTTGCTGAACTGGACAGTTTGGAAACAGAACAAGCACTGTTACTCACAGACGGGGATCCTGTGTAGGACTCTATTTCATACTGAAATACATAAAAAAACTTCAGTATAGTTTCTCATTTTTTAAAGACCTCTACAAAACTGTTTTCATCTTTTTTTCCTCAGTGCTGGGGAAGGTAGTGCTGAAACTGCTGCTCGCAGCTGCAGCGCAACCTTCATCCGTGTGGTTCTGCGCCGCTGGAACCGTTTCTGGAGCGCTCCAGTCACCGTGTTCATGGGAAACGTCATCATGTACTTTGCTTTCCTCATTCTGTTCAGTTACGTGCTGCTTTTGGACTTCAGGCCTCCACCACCGTATGGCCCCTCTGCAGCTGAGATCATCCTCTACTTCTGGGTCTTTACCCTGGTGTTGGAGGAAATCAGACAGGTAGGACTAAATGTCAGTGATCTATTTTTTTTATATATATATATATATGAAGTAAAATTATTCACACTCCTGTGAATTTCACAAATGATGTTTAACAGAGCAAGGCATTTTTTCACAGTATTTCCTACAATATTATTTATTTTGGGGAAAGTCTTATTTGTTTTATTTTAGCTACAAATAAAGCAGTTTTTAACTTTTTAAGAAACATTTTTAAGGTCAATATTATTAGCCCCTTTAAGATTTTTTTTAGATTGTCTACATAAAAATTAAATAAATCAGTTATTAGAAAAGAGGTATTAAAACTATTATGTTTAGAAATGAGTTAAAAAATCTTAAATTAATATAAAAAATATAAAACAATTAAAATTTAGGGGCAACACAGTGGCTCAGTGGCTAGCACTGTCGCCTCACAGTAAGAAGGTCGCTGGTACGAGTCCCAGCTGGGTCACTTGGTATTTCTGTGTGGAGTTGAGCATGTTCTCTCCGTCTTGGCATGGGTTTCATCCGGGTGCTCTGGTTTCCCAACACATGCACTATAGGTGAATTGAATAAGCTCAATTGGCCATAGTGTATGAGTATGTATGGATGTTTCCTATTACTGTTTAGCAGCTGGAAGGGCATCTGCTGTGTAAAAAATATGCTGGATGTTGGCTGGAAGTTCGCGATTCATTCCACTGTGGCGATTCATCCTGATGATGAATAAAAGGACTAAGCCAAAGGAAAAATTATGAATTAATTAAAATTTAACAGCAGGACATTTAATTCTGACCTCAACTGTATGTGTGTAGTTATTTTTTAAATTATGTTTATTTGTATGTTTACAAAGTTTTGTACGGTTCTCTCTCTCTCTCTCTCTCTCTCTCTCTCTCTCTCTCTCTCTCTCTCTCTCTCTCTGCAAAAAAGATTGCAGGCTTGGGGAAGGTTAATTTTAGGATTCATAATATGTTAAGTATCGTTATTGTCAACTAAACCTTCATTAATTAAAATAAACCTTAAATAAAATACAGAATGAAAAAACAAACAAAAATCACATATTGAAATTACAAATTTAATAAATAAAACGTATTTACAAAAAGTACATCTAGATTCTGAAATCTAAAAAAATCGTAAATCTTTTAAAAATATTATTATTATTTTAAATGTTTAATTATGATTAAGAAATTTGAACAAAACATGAATAAATACATTATTTTTTTAAAAATAAGTGTTGCATGTACTATATGAAGTCAGAACAACACATGATTTGGAAGTTATTGTTTCACCATGATTTGCTATAAAACATTCCATATGAATTCTAATGTGAGCTGAATCAAAGTAACACATTTAATGAGATGTAAAAATGTTAGTAATAATGTGTTCATTTTCTATATTTAAATATGTCTTGATTCACACATAAATGTATTTATATTCAATATTTAAGTTTTTTATTAAATGTATATTTGAAGTACTTTTCAAATGTCTAATAGTTTGTGACTTTAAGCACGACATAAAACTACATCATAAAAATACAGTATTAAAGCCAATGTTACATGCAGTATGGTACGATGCAATATGCACAATATAGTACAACACAGTGCATGAAAATACATACAGTACACAGTAAATACGCCATGAACTCCCACATGCAGAGTGGAGTATTATTTATCCGAAATTCTTTGAGCAAATGCAATTTCTCATTAAAATATCCAATGTGCCCAAGCTACTAAACAAACAGTGGCAACAAAAATTTGTTGAAGGGTTAATGAACATGCAGACACCCTGGCTTGGAATAAAAAAAATGGGGTTGGGAAGGGCTGTGGTAATAAAAATCAATAAAAAGTTTGCAACATAAAAATAAAATGTAAAAAAAATCTATATTTTTATATTTTATATTTATGATCTTATTTTTTTTATATTTGAAATATTTAGTAAAATACCTTAAAACAAAATAGCATGTTGGTACATTACTTCATCGATGACAACCAGGAGGGAGAAAAAAGTAATTCGGAGTTCATGCAGTAAAGGTAAAGGCAAGGCAAGACAATGTATTTATTAATTAGAGTTTGATTAATTTTATTAGCATCGGTTACATACAAAATTTTGGTAACTCTTTTACAACCCGCAAAAGTACCGCGTAAGTACAGTGAAATAACAGAGTACTTTTCTGTACTTATAGAGTAAGTACAAATAATAAATGTGTAGGTATAATGGAACAAACTGAAATGCTTGGGTATTATGTGGGTAACAACCACATATGCAACAAGCAAAGTACCACGTAAGTATATTGAATTTACGATGTACTTTGCAGGTTGTAAAAGAAAGCATTACCAAAATTTCTGTGTGGAGTTTGCATGTTCCAGGTGCTCCGGTTTTCCCCCACAGTCCAAAGACATGCGATATAGGTGAATTGGGTAAGCTAAATTGACTGTAGTGTATGTGTGTATGTCCTGGTCCTCCAGGAGGTTGAGCATTGGGCTAACAACCCACCTCGTAAAAAATTCGATGTTATGAAACATCAACATGGTGCGGCTAAATATTAACTTCCATTTAAAAAGGGCCGTGGGAGTAAGTAAGTAAGTAACATGCAAAATACATTTTAATGGAAACATTGGAAATACAAATTTTACCCTCCTTAAATATAGCATGTATCATTATTTTTAGACTTAACTGACTGACTAACTTTAGGAATTATAAAGAAGATTATAAAAGATTACATAAAAGATTATAAAAGAAGCACTCTTTGTGTGATTCAGTCACAAATTAAATTTTTTGTTTCTTCTCAAATTCTCTTGAAACTTTTCGCAAGTTTTCTTTCTTTATAAATATTGAAAATTAATTAATTGAAAATTGTATTCCTTGATAATTAGATATTTTATAATGGCATTTTTTAGAATTACTGAACCACATGTCATTGTAGTGGTGGCTTCTGAAAAGTGTTCTCAATAAACAAAAAACATAAAAAACTCATTCATTCTGTCACAGCGGACCACCAACTATTCTGGTGCATATCTTAAGCAGCGGATGCCCTATCAGCCGCAACCCAGAGCTGGAAAATGAATTCAAACTTTTAGTTAATTCAATAGATGTGACCAGTGATAGAAATTAAGATGAAATAGATTTAGTAACATAGGTGAAGTTATTGATGCTATTTGTAGAGTTATTAAATGATTTGTTGGTGAGTTTGTAGGATATTTAATGTGTTTTATTAGCTGATTTCATCTAGGGCTGTAACTAAAGTGAGTTGTAGTTTTGGATCAGTGTTAAATTTTGTACAAAATAGAAATTGTAACAATAAAAATTTAATATGTTTAGCAGACCAGTTGATATTTTTATGAGCAAAATTTAGTTTCCGTGAACTGATTATGTAACAGTAACCCAGACACTGATGTTGGAACAATATATGATCTTAAGTTAAGTTGGAAAACTCAATATTCTAATATGAAACAAAGGATTTCTCTAAGTTGACTTGACTCCCACTTTAAGGCAGCAGGTGAACTTTTGTTTCTCTGTTTAACCAAGTGTTTTACAGTATCTGAAGTGCTATTGATCTTGTACAGCTGACCTTGACAGAAAACATTATACGCAGAGACTGATTCATACTTGGGTCAGTTGGGTCTTTAGATTTGTGGCTTTCTTTTTTCTCTGCTGCCCTGAGTTCAGTCCAGTGTTCACAAAGGGCATTGTATAAAGGGCATAGAGGGGGTAGAACATGCTGATCTAGTGAATATCGTCTAGACATGAGGTTAAAGTGAAGTATAAAGTGTCTGTTGCACCATTCACATCCAAAGTTGAGAAATTTGTGTGGGAAAAAAGCAATACAAAGTTTCAGAAATGAGGGCTGGAGAGCATAGAATTTGCCATATGCATTAGATCAGAAATATGCAGAGGTTTTACTATAATGGTGTCTTATATACAGCTGTGTGAATGTCATTTCTAACAAGAAAAAAATTTAATAAAATAAAAAAAAAATATATATACGTGTGTGTGTGTGTGTGTGTGTGTGTGTGTGTGTGTGTGTGTGTGTGTGTGTGTGTGTGTGTGTGTGTGTGTGTGTGTGTGTGTGTGTGTGTGTGTGTGTGTGTGTGAATATTTATTAGCCCCTTTAAAAAAACACACTCATATATATCTATATATGTATATCTATATATATATCTATATATATATATCTATCTATATATATATATATATATATATATATATATATATATATATATATATATATATATATATATATATATATATATTCGTTTAGTTATGACTTAACATTTACTCACACTCAAGTGGTTATCTTCCTTTGTGTTCAACAGAAGAAAGAAACTCAAACAGTTTTGGAACAAGTGGAGGATGAGTAAATGATGGCAGAATATAATTTATTTTTTTAATTGTTGGGTAAACTGTCTCTTTACTCTCTCTAAATCATTAATAAAACTTGTGTGATGCCTCCGTAGTCTGTCTGATTTCAGTTTTGTGAGCTAACTTTGTGCTGAAATGCGACCAAAGTCAGTGGCTTCAGAAGCTTCAGAAACATCATTGTGCTAGAGTCCTGAAAGGAAAGTAAATGGCAGTCAATGAGCCTTTTATAGTGTGTCTAATGTGCACAGGTGTGGATTTATGCGTGCTGATATTCAATATGTCATGTCTGACAGATATGGATGAGGCGAGGACAGATTCAATAACAGAGATGCCGAACTAGTTCAGCAGGGCCTGTAAAGGAATAAACATTGAGCATTTCAATTAGTGCATCTTTTGTTGTAACAAAGCTAATGCTAATAGACCTTTTTGAGGGATGTAAAGAATAACAATGGTCCTAATGTATTTCCTGTTTTAGATTTTTAATTTCCAGAGCTTCTAACAATCTAGAATTATTTTTATTGACAGCTGTGTTAACATTAGTTATGACTGAATCGCATCTTGTTACAGTTGTGAAATAGTTTGACGACAAACAGGAACTGTTCACGGAACTCTAGCACTGTTACTCTTGCACTAAATTCTCTGAGCACTTACAAGTTACTTGGTAGCACTCCTTGACTGCATTGCCTCTTCTTGTTGAGTCACTGAATACCTCTTCAATTGTAAATCGCTTTGGACAAAAGCATCTGCTAAGTGACTAAATGTAAATCTCTGATGTGCAGAGTTTCTTCACGGATGAGGACATGAGTATTCTGAAGAAGATGAAACTGTATGTGGAGGACAACTGGAACAAATGTGACATGGTGGCCATCTCCCTCTTTGTGGTGGGATTGTCATGCAGGTATTATTATCACATATAAGCCAACTGTATGAGCAGTTTTAAGAGTAACGCTGGACTTAAACTGGTTTCTTTCCATTTGAAGGATGGCCATGAGTACATATGAGGCTGGTCGCACTGTTCTTGCCTTGGACTTCATGGTTTTCACCCTAAGACTCATTCACATTTTTGCCATCCATAAACAGCTGGGACCCAAAATAATCATTGTTGAGAGAATGGTAAATCCCAACACCATCATTTTTGTAACCATTATAGTTAGGGAACACAACATCCATCTAACCTCATTTCATTGTTTAACAGATCAAGGATGTGTTCTTCTTCCTCTTCTTCCTGAGTGTTTGGCTGATAGCGTATGGAGTGACGACACAGGCCCTTCTCCACCCCAATGACCCGCGCATTGATTGGGTCTTCCGCAGGGCGCTGTACCGCCCATATCTCCATATATTTGGACAGATTCCTTTGGAGGAAATAGATGGTACACTTTATTTAGTACACTGTAGCTCTCTGTTTGCAAAAAATAGGTTATGCACAATACTATTTATATGATGCTATAAGAAACATAACATAGTATTATTATATTATATTATATTATATTATATTATATTATATTATATTATATTATATTATATTATATTATATTATATTATATTATATTATATTATATTATATTATATTAAATTATATTAAATTATATTATTGAATTCAATTAAAGTTTATTTGTATAGCGCTTTCCACAATAATTATTGTTTAAAAGCAAAGGTGCTTTTTGTTTTTCAAAAGGTGCACATTTTTGCATTACAACCAATATCAGAAAAGTTAAGGTTATTAGTTTTCATAACTTTATTAGTTACTAATAACGTTAACTAATTTATCAGTACCTAAAAGCTTTTAACAGATAAAGTTATTATAAATAACATAGTTAACCTGCAATTATATAATATATAGGGGATGTCATGTGACCTCTTATGATCTCTTCCAGAGGTTGTAAAAAGCAACTGAATTGCTTTGTATACATTCTGTGGAAGAATGTTTTAAGCAGCCTTAAAAACATCTACTCTCTTCTTACTGACTTAAAATGTGTGAGAAAGCACACCTAACAGTTTAAACTTCACTGCATTGTACCAAAACAACAAGACTGTAATTGCCATTCAGATTTTTAAATTTGCTCACCTTTTGTAGGTAAAGGAACTTGTGCTATTATGTATCATATTGGAGAAGAAAAAACATCTGATAAAACTCAGAGAGTTATGAACTGGCCTTAACAAGGTCCTGACCTGAATGTTATTGAGGTAGTATGAAATTAACTAAAGTGGACAGAGAAAATTAAATCATATTAAAATAAAATAAATTAAAATGTGAATTTAGGCAATTATGGAAGCATGATGGAAGCATGGTATACTTAAAAAACTCCTAAAAGGCGTTCAACAGTGTGTTTACTATCAAATATGTCTTGAAATTTGTGGATTTGAAATGTGTATATATTTCCAAAAATGAACATGATTGATTAATAACAGTATGACTTTTCAACTTTATACCAATAAATGAATTTCAAAAAACATTTTAAAACAGTAAAATAAAGAAAACAGGTTTAAATCAAACCCCAGCAAAGAGTTTGCACTGGGTATCAGTTCAGTGGTTATGCTCATTTTATGCTCAATGAGTTTCTGTTTAGTCAGAGTTCAGATTATCTGTCAATATTTGCTATTTCATTAAAATGAATTTGTTGTCAATAGTCTTGAGCACTAGATGGAGCTATTGAATTTTGTTACTGACTGTTTTTCTCCATGTCTCTTTACAGCTGCAAAAATGCCAGATGATAACTGCACTACTGACGTGCAGGAGATTATATTAGGCACTCTGCCACCGTGCCCAAACATATATGCCAACTGGCTGGTCATTCTGCTGCTCGTCATCTATTTGCTGGTCACAAATGTACTGCTGCTCAACCTTCTGATTGCCATGTTTAGGTCAGAACTTAAACCAAAGCCTAATGTTGAGAGATGTTTTAGTGAGGAAAACTAAAGTATGGGTTAAAAAGAATGATTCCAATAGAGATGGGTACTTTGTTTTTGGCTTTATTCAGTTGTACAGAATCATTCTTGTAAATATGTGATCGATTAGGTATTGTTAAAGGCTTGATTGTGTATATGAGATACATACTGTAACATGTTTATGCTTTTTGATTTTATTTTTTTTCATAAATGCTATATTACACTGCAGCTTCTGTTATCCTTAAAAGCTTTGTTGACTTCCTGGCTCTGTGAAACCCCTTCCTCAGAAATATGCAGTGGGCTCTGGTTGGACAGCTGGCCTATGTGTTCTGATTCACTGACCACTTAGTTAAAAGGGGTCTAATGCTATTTCATGCATTCAGAATTATTTACACTTACGGTGTTGGACCATCATGCTTAAGATAGGTAAAGTTTTAAAATATGATTTAAAAGTAACATACTATTTCTGTTTCAATGTCTTTTTTCGGGTTCGTATCTAGTTTCACATTTTTTTTTTTTGTTTTGTTTCGAGTCTGGGTCTTAATTACAAAACAAAGGGCAGAAAACCTTTCTGCACTTCCAATAGTGACTTCTCCCAGAAAACCATATAAGTGACCAGCTAGAGTCCCCAGAATGCTTGTTTAGCCGTAGTTAATTTCAAGAGTTCACACTTAGCTGATGATTGATTATAAAGCCTATTTGGCATGCTGTCCCAAGAGAGCCCCGAGCTCAGAAGATCCTCGAGCCCAGGGCTCCCTCCTATCTGCAGGGTGAGAGGGGAGTTTGAGCTCAGGTAGATCTCGAGAACTCCCCTGCTTTTTATGGCCAATGACTAGTTAGGAATTGCTAAGAGAGATGTACTGCTAACTTAGGTTTATCCATGGTGCTACTTTGGATTAGTAAATTCACTTATGTCGCATGCCTTTGGACGGTGGAAGAAAACCAGGGAACCTGGGGGAAACCCACGCAAGCACAGGAAGGACATCTAAACTCTACACAAAAACTTTGACTGGCCATGGTAAAGACTTGAACCAGTGACATTGTTGCTGTGAGGCAACAGTGCTAACCACTAAGCCGCCATGCTGCCCTATCTAGAAAAAGGAGAGGGAGTAGGGGTGTAAAGGGGGATTCTTTAAGACAAAGATAACTGGGGTGAGAAACTCTGGTTATTTATGGTGACTTGGGATTCAGCTGATTGGTGTATTGTGTTAGCTAATGCGGGACCAGCCATAGGCACGTGATCCTTCCGAAATTTCAAACATAAGTTTTCAATATTTCCACTGAGACCCTTTTGGGATTTAATTAGAATGCATCACTTTTATATTTTCATGGTGAAATGTCTGGTTTATGATATGACATGGCACAGCACCATGCACTGATTTGGAGATTATAGCTACTGGATTTACAACACATCAGTTCATCAACTTCTTCTAAATTGCAAAGCAAGTGGCTGTTTAACCGAGAGAAGAACAGCGTAAACGTTGTAGTGAGTTCTTCTGGAGAAAGTCTTATTTGTTTTATTTCAGCTAGAATAATAGCAGTTTTATTTTTTTTAATTGTTTAGCTGATTGTTAGCAAAATTACAAAATTATTAGCCCCTTTAAGCTATATTTTTTCAATAGTCTACAGAACAAACCATCGTTTTTACAATAACTTGCCTTATTACCCTAACCTGCCTAGTTAACCTAATTAACCTAGTAAAACCTTTAAATGTCACTTTAAGCTGTATAGAAGTATCTTGAAAAATATCTAGTCAAATATTATGTACTGTCATCATGGCAAAGATAAAATAAATCAGTTACTAGAAATGAATTATTAAAACTATGTTTAAAAAAATCTTCTCTCCGTTAAACTAAAATTGGGGAAAAAATTTAGGGGCTAATAAATTCAGGGGGCTAATAATTCTGACTTCAACTGTATATTAAAATGTCTGCGACATTGGATTTTGTTTTTTTTTTTTCAATTAATATCAGAAGTCGTGGGAAAACTAGCAAACCCTGGGCCTATTTTAGCTATATTTTTGTGTCAGTGATGATGCAAAATCATCTAAAAGTAAATGTACAGTGTTTAAATGTATAACCCTTTTGGCATGTAGATTGGTTTTACAGAATTTGAAATGAAAAGATCCTTCCTGTTGCTCCACAATAATAAAAATCTAATGTCTTGCCTGCAACTTGAGAGGCTATAACGCAAAAATAAAACTAAGAATTTCCATGTTATATGGAATCCATTTATTGAGTACTTTAACAAAAGACCAGTGATTGAACGCTGATTGAAACACCTCAAATCCCCCCAATTTAATTGTTTTTTTCTTTCTTTTGCTCTTTCCCCCACTCTTCTCTGTTTTTTTTTATTTTTATTCATATATTAACATGATGTTAACTTTTTGTTTAAAAGAAAAAAAAGTATACATAAAGTTATAATTTGTACTCATGTCAAAATACAATAAAGAAAATGTTTAACATGCAGTACCACTCTATACTGTAGGTTTTCAAGATTAATTTGACATTAGGCAAAATGAGCATGATACATCCCCTTTAACGTTTTTTTATCTGAAACATTATTCCAGGGGGTGTGTTTATGTAAAATTGAGCAGTTTGGATCAAGGAAGAAGTCTCATTGCACTCTAACAAAAATGTGAAATCACAAGCAATCATATACCTTTCATTAAAAAAGGAAAATGTAACTAATCATCTTGTCACCCCTCTTCACAGCTACACGTTCCAAGTGGTGCAGGAGAATGCAGATATCTTCTGGAAGTTTCAGCGCTACAACTTAATTGTTGAATACCACAGCCGCCCGGCACTAGCACCACCTTTCATCATCATCAGCCACATCACACAGGCTCTCCTCAGCTTCATCAAAAAGACAGAAAACACACAGGATCTGCTGGGCAAGTAGACTTTACACTGCCTGAGCACTTCTCTGTTAGATTTTATATATATATATATATATATATATATATATATATATATATATATATAGTTCATCATGCAGAGCTATTTTTCATATTGTTTTCACAAGAACTCAATGATAAGTGAGGTCAATTAAGGACACGTGGCAGGTAAAGCAAATGTGATATTTAAAGAAACAGCGTCAAATCTTAGTTCCTCTTTTGTTGTTGTGGTGGATAGAGAGGGAACTGCCGTCTGGCCTGGACCAGAAGCTCATGACATGGGAGACGGTGCAGAAAGAGAACTATCTGGCTAAACTGGAGCATGAGCACAGAGAGAGCAGCGGAGAGAGACTCAGATACACTTCCTCAAAGTGAGTAATGCTGCACTCATATGAGATGAATTAATACCCATCTTAGTTTATGTTGAGGTTTGTTTCATGAGTATTAAGTCCAAATCCATGCGAATGACTGCATGTGTATCCGCTTTTAACCTATTTTTGGTGTGTTGCTTAGGGTACAGACTTTGCTGAGGATGGTTGGGGGTTTTAAGGACCAAGAAAAGCGAATGGCAACAGTGGAGACTGAGGTGAAGAGAAATAGTTGATCTTAATGATAATTATATTAATGGAGATAAATAATAAAACAGTTCTACATTTTAAACAATAGCAGAGTTCACAGTCACACTGTTATTATAACAATTATGGCACAGAGGAACAATACAGATAAAATCACTCATAACTCATTTAATATGTATTGTTTTTTGTCCTTGTTCTGGATCCATTTTCAACCTAAAGGATTGTTATTATATAAAATTCATAAATGATAAACGAACCACAGGAAAAACACCTCATCAAAAGTTTTAGGACAGTACAATTTTTATGTCTTTTTTTCTATTCAACTCACCAAACCTACATTGATCCAAAGTACAAAAAAAGTCATTTATTCCTGATATTTTAAAGCTAAATTTTAGCGTCATTTCAGGGGTCACATGATCCTTATAAAATCATTGTTATATTCTGATTTGAACAACAAATAATAATAATAATATTAATAATAATTCTTATTCTTATAATTTATTCATTCATTTTCCTTCAGCTTAGTCTCTTTATTCATAAGAGGTGGCCACAGCACAATAAACTGCCAACTTGTCCAGCATATGTTTTACACAGCAGATGCTCTTTTAGCTGCAACCCAGTATTGGGAAAATTATCATTCATTCATTCATTCATTTTCTTTTTGGCTTAGTCCCTTTATCAATCAGGGGTTGCCACAACATAATGAACCGCCAACTTATCCAGCATATGTTTTACGGAGTGGATGCCCTTCCAGCTGCAACACATCACTGGGAAACACATATAAAATCTTGCATACACACTCATACACTACAGACAAATTAGCTTACCCAATTCACCTATAGAGCATGTCTTTGGACTTGTGGGGGTAATCGGAGCACCCAGAGGAAACCCACGGGAACACGGGGAGAACATGCAAACTCCACACAGAAATGCCAACTGAACCAGCCGGGGGCTCGAAAAAATGACCTTCTTGCTGTGAGGCGATTGTTCTACCCACTGGGCCACCGTGACGCCTTGGGAAAATTATTATTATTATTTTTTTTTTTTTTTTTTCATTTAATGTTTTTTTTTTAGGATTCATTGATGAGTAGAAAGTATTTATTAATTCGTAACATCATGCACTATTCCATTTAAAAGCTTGCAATAAGTAATATCTTATTTGATAAAGATTATATTTTATATGATTATATATTTTATAAGATTATATTCAACTCATATGAAACCTTCATGTTTATTTCTAACAAAACATATACGCAACACAAATCCCAGCAAGCATTTTTTATTTTTAAAATATGTCTAATAGATGTCTAATAGACGTCAAAACAGAGTTGTCTTGGCTAAAACAAGGCTAAATTTGGGCTGTAAGTGAAAATCGAATAGATGTTTAAGAACTGGCCAAAACTAGACTAGTCATCAAATAAACTGAAATTAATGACTACATATAAAGTCTGTCAATCTGGCTATTTGTAGACTAGTCTAGTTTGGGGCTATTGAAGCAATTTCTTACTTTTATTATTATTATTATTATTATTATTATTATTATTATTATTATTATTATTATTATTATGTTGGCGGTTCATTCCGCTGTGGAGACCCTGGATTAATAAAGGGACTAAGCTGACAAGAAAATGAATGAATGAATTATGTTTGGATTAAATGGGTTGATTGGATTTTATGATTATTATAATTATAACGTTTACATTTGATAATTATTGGATTCAGGTTTGAGTATTTCCTTTTTATATACTATTCATGTTGGAGTATTTGCTTTATTGTTTTTGATTTTGTGAATGAGGACTTTTATTCTGTCGAAATTGGGATTTAAGGCAGCCAGGTAGTAGGTGGGGGAGTAAGGGAGTAGGAAACAATTTAAAATTTTTATAAGAGAAACTATTTTCAGACCGTGAGTTTGTATGTGGTGACGGGTGCTATCGAGGAACAATGGAGCTATTTCACTGATTTGACGGGACAATATGTGATTAAAATAAACGATGAGAAAATGTTTCACAACTGAATCACGTGTCATTCTCTACCCTTCCCGAGATATCGGCTTAGAGCAAAAATGCCGCTACATGGGCTATTCTTAGATGTCTATTAGATTTTCACTGATAGTCCAAGTTTAGGCTTGTTTTAGCCAAGCTGTGAATGTTAAGATGTCTATTAGACATCTATTAAACAAAAAAACATTTGCTGGGGTATTAGACTGAAAAGTATTCAAGCTAAATTGTACATACATTTTACTTACATAAACTTTCACTTTTAAATTGTTAATTCTGATTACTTACATTTTTCATATGGCAAGGATTTCTCAATATAGGTATACATATAGTATACATGTCTATCAACAAGATTCAGCTCCAAAAGTATGTCATATATTCATGAAAAAGCTCAATAAAAGCAGCATGTTTTTGACAGCAGTATATAGATTGTTCTTTAAAAACCTTTTTTAATATATAATGCTGTCCCATGTGTGTTTGTGTCCAAAATCAGCTTAACAAAAATGCTTAAGTGGATAGTTTACCACAAAATGAAAATGTACTCACTATTTACTATTTCCCTCATGTCCATCCAAAGCTTTATGAGTGTTTTAGTCTGTTGAACACCATTATTTTAAAGAATGTCAGAAACCTGTAACCATTCACTTCCATAGTATGACAAAACAATTACTATGAACGTCACTGGTTACAGGTTTCCATCTTTCTTGAAAACATCTTCTTTAATGTTCAACATAAGAAAGTCAAACAGGTTTGAAACGAGTGAAGGTTGAGTAAATGATGACAGAACTTTCATTTGTGGGTAAACTATAACTTTCATTTTTTTAAAGATACATATTATATCCCATAATAACTGTAAATAATCTGTAAATCCTAATCTTAATAATCTGTGGATCTTAAAGCATTAGCTTGATTAAAAAAAAAAACTGTGTGTGTGCGTGTGTGTGAATGAGTGTTTTGTTATTTGCCGTTTAAGCTCATGTTACTGAATAACTGACTCTTCCTCTGTATAGGTGAGGTATTGTGGAGAGGTCTTGTCTTGGATTGCTGAATGTTTCCACAAAAGTACTCTGAAGTGTGACAGAGACGCACCAAAAGCCCCACGTGAGGCTTCCTTTACTTTGCGTTTGTCTTAGATCATTACTTTATCTCTATCTCCTTTATTTAGTCTCATACTCTGCCAGAGTGTCTTGTTTCCATTGTCAGACAGTTTATTGTCCTCTTAATGAAACACTACACTTCCTGTGTGTTTGGCAGGGTCCATTGCCGGGAGCTCCAGAGACCAGCAGCCACAAGGGGCCAAACGCCAGCAGCCAGCAGGACATCCAGCATATGGCACTGACAAGAAACTGCCTTTCATTGATCACTGATCCGCCTCTATATTTTCTTTGTAACCTAGAAATAGGATATTACAGGTCCTTTAGAATTAAAATAAAGTTTTTTAAGCTAGTTAGTATCAGTGTGTTCGGATATGTAAGAATATCTGTAAACTAGTGTGCTCCAAAACAGTGACAATTTGCAATTTGTAGATATAAACAACCAAAGCTTGTAGTTTGTCACTTCCGCCTTAATGGATCAAGAATTATGTTTTTCATATTTCAGTTTTTGGGGTGACACTGTGGCTCAGGGCTTAGCACTGTCGCCTCACAGCAAGAAGGTCGCTGGTTTGAGTCCCGGCTGGGTCATTTGGAGTTTGTGTGTTCTCTCCGTGTTTGCGTGGGTTTCCTCCAGGTGCTCTGGTTTCCCCTACAATTCCAAAGATATGCGATATAGGTGAATTGATTCATCTAAATCTGGGTGTTCCCCAGTACTGGGTTGCAGCTGGAAGGGCATCGACTGTGTAAAACATATGCTGAACAAGTTGGTGGTTCATTCTGCTGTAGCGAACCCTGATAAATAAAGGGACTAAGAAAAAGGAAAATGAATAAATAAAATAAATAAAACTTCAGTTTCTTGTCAAATCTTCTGACCAATGAAATGCTCTCTAGTATCTTACATGTCCCGCCTTTTTCAAAAGGCTTCTCACTTGATGCGCTTGATCTCAACCACTCTCACTGGCAGAGCTGTGATGAAAATGAAATGCTATTGGCTGTTTTTTTATTAAAATGGAGGAGCTATGTACCGCCCTCTTTTCATGTTTCAGTTCAAAATTCTTGAAAATGCACATTTCAACGTACTTCACAGGACTTTTAATATTTAGACAAGAAATGAGACACAATATGTGCAGATTAATATTTTGTGACTGAGCTTTATAAAGTTTTTGTGCCTTATTTGGAGCATATTCAAAATATGCTCACTATAACATTTGCAATACAAAATATAGATTTCTTTTTCAGTTTATAATTTGTCAATGCACTTCAACCAATTCATATTAGGGCTGCACGATATTGGAAAAATATTGCAATATTTTCATTCACTCCGATATATATTGCGTTATCAATGCAATTTCAGCAGATGGCTTGAAGAGCTTGCAAAGCATTTGTCGTTTAAGAGACTGTGATGATTCTGTGATGATTTCTTGGAAGTCAAAAAGTATTCAGAAGCAGAAATGAAATAATCATCATATAACAATAATAACACTGTATCGTTTACATTAAGTAAATAATTATAAAATGTATAATTATTCTTTGTGTCCAAATGCCTTAAATTTGCTTCAGATTCTTACAGTCAGGTCTTAAAAACACATGCAAATAATAAACTTTCACTCTAAGGTTAAAATATGACAAGACTCCACTATTGTTAACTGTAATATCTGGTCAACTATAATCCCAACTACATTGCAGATCCCTGCGGTGTGACTATTGCGAACTCACACATTGCAATATCTATGCTGAAAGATTATATTGTGCAGTCCTAATTCAAATGTTAAAATATTTTGTACAGAAAATGAAGATTGTTCCGTTTCTACCAGCACTTGTTGTTATAGTAAAATCAATGACATCGGTTGAATGAGCAATTTGAGGACCTGTATAAATAACACTAGGCAGACTAAACCCTTAAACTTTACAATCCAGCTTCCCTAGTTATTTAGACATCAACAGTTTGTCAAATTATTTTAGCCTTCCTGTGAAATGTTCATTCTGTTGTTTAATTACCAAGTGCTTTTAATCGAGAGATTTATTTTGACACCTCATTTCTTTTGTCTCTGCCATAATTGTAGTACTTAACATTTTACTACAGTAGATATTTAGCAAGATACTAGTATGCAACTAAAAGTGCAATGGAAAGAGCCACTGGACAGCATTGCTTTGTTAAATAGCCTTTTGAAGAAAACTAAACTGATTTTTAAAAAAATTTTATGATTATTATTACAGCCAAGCAAAAACAATTCCGACTTTATCCAGAACAAAAATATTATAAGAAATCCTTTGCACTTTTCACCAATTTTCATTGCACTGTTAAATGTCACTTGGGAAATATTTGGGGGGTAAAAATAGAAATTCACAGAAGCTCAATAATAATTTGGTCTGCACACTGCTTAACATTAACTGTACACTGTCAAATAAAAGTTTTTGGTCAGTAATATTGAATAACATCTATAACACTCACCAAAGAAGTATTTCAGGTTTGCTTCATAAATTGAATCAACAATGTTGATAAAAGAACAATGTTTATTTAAAATATAGTGACTTTTAATGCAATCAAATACATCTTTAATGGACAATCAATTAATTTCATTGAGCAAAAAATAAATAAAAACATCCAGATTATGAATAATACAATATATGCCCATTTCTCACCTCTTTCAGAGTACCCTCACCGTTTTACACCATTTTAGACACTGATTATTCATTATCAAGAATGACCAACGCTGTTCCCATAGCTGATGAATCAGTAACCAGTTGACTTAGCAAATTTACTCAAAACCAGCCTTGAGGGAAAACTTTACAACAAGAATAGTAGTGGGAACACATTCACTCCAACCCATATTCGCTCCAACCTGCAGTGTTTTTTTAATTCTCCTTCTTCTTGAATGCCAAAAGCTCTGCTGTTGTTAAGTGAAGCTGATTCTGCAATCGTCATAGTCATTTCTGCAGTGTCATGGACAGACTCGGTATGTAGACATCATTTATTACCACTTTGTGCTTCCAGGCATGCATTTATTTATCTGTGCTGCAATGTCTAGTACTGTAAGTGATTTATTACTCATTTTTGTAACACCTTATTAAGTCTGAGGCATCAGATTAATTGTAGAGAATAAAAACTTATTAAGAGACTGCCAAACTGCTTACATTTACTGTAAATGTTAATGTGTATTTGACTGACTGTGAAGAATGTACACTGATTCACTGGGTGTACTAAATTTCTTTAAGTGGTTGCAAACGATTAGCATGGGGTGAATTTAGGTTGAACATTACTAAATTTATTCATTCATTTTCCTTCGGCTTATTCATCAGGGGTCGCCACAGCGGAATGAACCGCCAACTTATCCAGCATAAGTTTTTCACAGTGGATGCCCTTTCAGCCGCAACGTAGTATGGAAAACACACTCACTTGCATGCACATACACTATGGCCAATTTAGTTTATTCAATTCACCTATACCGCAAGTCTTTGGACTGTGCAAACGGAGGAAACCCACGCCAACATGGGGAGAACATGCAAACTTTACACAGAAACGCCAACTTGTCCAGTCGGAGCTGGAACCAGTGACCATCTTGCTGTGAGGCGACAGAGGTAACCACTGAGCCACTGTGTCGCCCCTCACTAAATTTAATTAGTTTAAATATAACCCATTTAAACTGTTTGCAACCACTTTAAAAAAAAATTCCCAGTGTACTACTTTGCTATTTCTCTCTCTAAATATAGCCTATACAGTGTTTATGTTGTAAATATGACAGTGTTTATGCTGAGATGTTGTCAGAGTGGCAGATCCTCATTTGAACTCGGAATTGTGGAGTTGATTTGAGGTTAATCAGTGAACAGATGTAAACAGGACAGCGAGTATAACAGGAAGTCGGTACACCACACAGGAAGTAGGTTCTCGAATGGTAACGTGTCAGATCCACCTGTGTACTTTCACACGGCTCTGAAAACCTGGAAATGGCCTTGTTCCTGTGAACTGTCACAGTTGCAGTAGTTGTTTTATGAAAAAAGAAAGCTGTGTGTTCCTTCATTTCAAAGATTTATACAGACTCACTTATTAAACCCAAACAGACCTCCATTCAGCTCCATCCACCGCTGAATCCATCCCGAAGGATCCCAGCACTGCTCTTACAAATAAGTATGATATCATTTTAGATATTTTTATTTTCCCTTTTTTATGTGTTTTGTTGGGCCTAAAACAATTAGCCACATTTGCTTATGGCTAGTGACTTGAGATCACTTCATGGGCCAGAAATATACTGTATATTTACTGGCAATGAAACTCTAATGCCATTGTATAGGCTTGTGTGATGATTTATAATGTTTTAAATCTGGCAGGAGACAACAGCTGAAATGGCTCTGGCTTATTTAGTTTTCACTGTTGATTATTGGCAAAATAATAATTGATGGGCAAAACCAACACAACAAATTATTACTGTTGTTGTTATTACTATAATTACATGAAAAAATATTACAGCACATAAACATCAATATGATACAAGTGAACTGTAAAGTATTTAGCAATAGAAATTTATGTAATAAGTATTATCATTGTTGCTGTGCTTGAATTGTATTCTATATTTCTAAAAACATCACTATAATGTTCTGTAATTGAGATATTTTTATTATAAATGTCAACAAAATGTATACAAAAGCCTTTGAGAACTGAATCATGTATAATATATATATATATATATATATATATATATATATATATATAATCACTGGCCACTTTATTAGGTACATCCTTTTTGATGCCAGAGGTCAAAGGAGAATGGCTAGAATGGTTCCAACTGATAGAAAGACAACAGTAACTCAAATAACCACTTGTTAATGTCCCAAATTTGACAATAGAAGATTGGAAGATTGGGAGAAACGTTCCCTGGTCTGATGAGTCTCGAATTCTGCTCCGACATTCAGATAATAGAGTCAGAATTTGGAGTCAAAATGAAAGCATGGATCTATCCTTCCTTGTATTGACAGTTCAGGCAGCTGTTGGTGGTGTAATGTTGTGGGGGATATTTTCTTGGCACACTTTGGGCCCATTAGTACCAATTGTGCAATGTGTCAACAACAGCCCACCTGCTGACCATGTCCTTCTCTTAATGACCACAGTGTACCCATCTTCTGATGGCTACTTCCAGCAGGATAACCCGCCTTGTAATAAAGCACAAATCATCTCAGACTGGTTTCTTGAACATGACAATGAGTTCACTGTACTCAAATGGTCTCCACCATCACCAGATCTCAATCGATTAGATCACCTTTGGGATGTGGTGGAACAGGAGATTTGCATCACAGAAGTGCTGCTGACAAATCTGCAGCAACTGCGGGATGCCATCATGTCAATATGGACTAAAATCTATGAGGAATATTTCCAGTACCTTGTTGGATCTATGCTATGAAGCCGGTATTACTAAGGTGTACCTAATAAAGTGGCCATGGACTGTATATTATAATATATAATTATGGCTAGCATTTGATTCACACAGTGTTTATAATGTACTGGCCAGTTACTGTTAACTTGAACTTGATTTTTATTGTTAAATTTAAGTTCTGTCTTGAATATTCAAATATTGAACAACACTCTTTCTTTTTTAGTATATGTGCTGCTGTTGTTAAAGTGTTCAAAGGAGAAGAACTACAGCTGAATGAGCTTTATTCTTTGAATGAAAATACCAGGTATTCAAGAGAAACTAGCTGTAAAATTACTCTTGAAATGTGTAATACCTATTTTTGACTAGTTCTTTGTCCTCATATGTGCAGGTGGCTACTAAGGTCAGATATGGGCTACTTCATCAAGGATTATTTCCAGGTGTTCTTTGCATCTTAGTTCTCAGAGCTGTAATATTATTTTTCTGTTAATAAATAAACAAATAAGTGTGTATCTGTGTGTAAAAAGTAATACATTACAATTTTAAGTCTATCTTACTCCTAATACAAAAATAAAAATGCAAAATAACAATTTCAGATTATTTCCTTATAAAATACCTAACTAACTATAATAATATTAATATATGTAATCTCTCTCTCTCTCTCTCTCTCTCGATTGTTTGCAGAATCATATTTTGACAAAAGGTTTAACGATGATTTTGGATGAGATTCAGAAGCATGAAGGTGAGGTGCAAGATTTAAAAGATCTGGTTTATAAGTTTTCACTAAAATAAAAATAAATAAATAAGAAAATTATATATATTTTTTCCTCAGACGAGAAACAACTCTTTATTTTGGCTGAAATTTGGGATCGATTTTTCACTGAGATTCTTCCTACTTTGCAGGCTATTTTATATCCTCTGCAGGTAAATCTACTTTTGTGAATCAGAGATTTTGCTAGCATAATAGCCAAAAAGTGATGGCTGTAAAAAAAACATTATAAATAAGTATTAATATTGTTATTAAAATTAATATTACATTTGATGTCTGTGGTTGCCAGAATGAAACATTTTAAACCAGTAAACCAACTTTATACCATCACTGCAATGCACAGTAGCTTTAGGTAATTATCTGTCAAATGAATTTCAAGAGTTCACACTTAGCTGACGACTGATTATTAAGCTTGTTTGGCATGCTGTCCTGGGAGAAAGCCCTGAGCTCATAATATCCTCAAGCCTGGGGCTCCCTAGCTCCGATTTGCTGGACAAAAGGGTAGTTTGAGCTCAGCTAGGTCTCGAGAACCCTTCCCTCCTCTAATTTGGATGGGTCAATTCACTTATGACACATGTTTTTTTGCTGTGGGAAGAAAACGGGGAACCCGGGGAAAACCCACAGGGGCACAGGGAGAACATGTAAACTCCGCAAATAAAACAACAGCTGGCCTGTTAAGGATTTGAACCAGTGACAGTCTTGCTGTGAGGCAACAGAATACTACAGTCTTGCTGTGAGGCTAGTACAGAGTAGGGGTGGAAGGGGGATTCTTCAAGACGAAAACAACTGAAGTAAAAAAAGCTCTGGTTATTTATAGTAAGTTAGGAATCATCTGATTGGTGGAACATGCATTAGTTAATGCGGGACCAGCCATGTTCAATCATAATCACATGCTCCTCTCGAAATTAGTTTATAAATAAACTTTAGAAACAGAAATATATAGCAGCCTAGCTATTCTGGCTAAATTAGCATAACCACACTGCTACTAAACTCTGTATTGCACGCCATATACTGACATACATCACAGTAACTCAGGCAGTGCAGATGGTCAAGAGGAAACCACAACAGCTTTTCCACAAGCTGATGTCACTATAATATGAAATAGGTCAGTGTCAAAGCTATTTTTTTTTAAAAAATACATACATTCATGGTAACAACTAAACTTAAGACCCTAATGTACGTATACTAAGGGAAAAAATTGCTTGTGAAGCGCATTGTAAATGATAAGATCCTCTTTCGCTTTATACGCAAAAAGTATCCAACGGTATTTTACTATAATGTTCAACAGATGTCATGTTTTGTTGCTTTTTTCATCATAATATGGAAAAAAGAATACCTTCACACAATCTTCACCATTACATTTTGGGGACATTGTTGTGCTCGGAGTGTAAAAAATCTCTATATTTGTTATTATCATTAAAATGTTATTTATTAATAATGTCAATATTCTAGTTTTTACTGACAGAAATGCTTCTAAAGAGGGTCGCACACAAGATGCGCCGCACCATGCATTTTAGAATTCTAAACAGATCTCTATAAGGGTACGCACACTGACGCTGCAAGTCAGCGGCTGTCCGCAGAACCCAACTACGACTCGGGGACATTGTTCATATTTCTGCTGCGCCACAGTGCGCCATCTGAATACTTTTATATTAAATAAAATTCGAATGTGCGCGTCTGGTGTGAGATACTTCCAACTGTCATGTGCTGGCTATGTTGCGGCACTGAGTGGCACTGAGTGGTACATCTGGTGTGCGAACCTGCTTAATGAATTACTTGGTTAGTTGATATTTAGCCGCACCACGTTGGTGTTTCGTAACATCTAATTTTTATGAGGTGGGTCTTTAGCCCATTGCCCAACCCCCAACATAGAGGACCAGGAAATACACTACAGACAATTTAGTTTACCCAATTCAGCTATAGCGTATGTCTTTGGACTTGTGGGGGAAAGCGGAGCAACCAGAGGAAACCCATGTGAACACTCGGAGAACATGCAAACACCACACAGAAATGCCAACTGACCCAGCTGGGGCTCAAACCAGCGACCTTCTTACTATAAGGCAACAGTGCTACCCTCTGCGCCAACATGCTGCCATTATAACGATTTAGATGTTTAAAGAAGAACTTCTAAATGTGCTCTTCTCTAGACTCCTTTATGAACAGAAATTCATAAGAACAGCATTTATTTGAATCCATTTATGTGGCCTAAAGCTGACTACAAAAAAAATCTCAAAAAATTTACGGTAAAATTTAATTTTACAGTAAAAATATGAAACCATACAAGAAATTTCTACATTTTTACAGTAAATATATACGGTTGAAGTCAGAAATATTAGCCCCCCTGAATTATTAACACCCCTGTTTATTTTTTCCCCTAATTTCTGTTTAATGGAGGGAAGATTGTTTCAGCACATTTCTAAGCATAATAGTTTTAAAAACTTATTTTTTTGATAAGTTTGATAAGATGATTTATTTTCTCTTTGCCATGATGACAGTAAATAATATTTGACTAGATATTTTTCAAGACACTTCTAAACAGCTTAAAGTGACATATAAAGGCTTAACTAGGTTAGTTAGGTTAACTAGGCAGGTTAGGGTAATTAGACAAGTTATTCTATAACTATGGTTTGTTTTGCAGACTACTGAAAACAAAAATAGCTTAAAGGGGCTAAAAATTTTGTCCCAAAAATTGTTTAAAAAAAATTAAAAACTGCTTTTATTCTAGCCGAAATAAAACAAATAAGACTTTTTCCAGAAGAAAACATATTATCAGACATGCTGTGAAAATGTTCTTGCTCTGTTAAACATAATTTGGGAAATATTTAAAAAAGAAAAAAAAATCAAAAGGGGGTAATAATTCTGACTTCAACTGTATAAAGTGATCAGAGTTATTCACACCATCATGGTAACACAACAATAAACATAATTTATCAACAGTAGATGTTTAAAGGTGCTGTATGTAAGTTTTGACTCTTCTAAAGCATAAAAATACCATAATATGTTTGCAGATATTTAATAAACATGCCAAGGGAACATTTTTGTTTATTTAAAAAACAATGCTGAAGTCAGATACTCTGCTTTGAAAATGTGCGTTACAAGCCATAACACTGTCTTTATTTTTGGTCTCTTTTAACATGCCCAATGCCACATTAGCCAATTATATTTCAGCTCCCCTAGTTGCCTTGGTGCGAAACAGCTTATTTCAGTCATTCATTCTGAAAGGCTCTCAAAGCATGTGTCCGTGACTGAAATTAGATTTCTGGTGGACAGCAGCAGCCTCTGAAATGAGACAGATTCAGAGTTCTACATGAGGTAATTAATTAGCAAATAATATATATATATTACGAATGTAAATATTAGGTGAGCAGGTTAAATTGTAATCCTATGTCTTAACAACACACTACAATATGAGATTTGCAGAGATAAGCAATTTGGCTATTTGCACCAGACGCAACACGACAGAAATTGAAATACAGTCATTCAGAAGCACAGAATAGTGCACTTACTGCACTCCAACGAAATTGTAAGGTTTCTTATCTAATTAATACATATTAAACATCTTTAACATTAGTAAATGTACATGCTGAATCCATGTGTTGCTTTGCATTATTTCACAGTTCTAAAGTTCAATTTCAAATGGTTTATTTTATTTTCAAGATCTGAGGTGATCTGCTGCTGCTTTCAGTGGTATGGCAATAAATGTCATGTAAAATAGCATTCAAACTCACATTATTATCATTTAACACTTTATAAAGCACATGAGGTGTACTTAAGGTGATCAGTGTCAGTTTTCTGTTGTTCAGCTGTGAGAAATAGAAACCGTTTCTAATATATTGATTCAAGGTTTTTGGCTAGGACCAAAACTCCATTTAATATGGAGAATATTCCTTCTATCGCGTGTCATTGCATTTTCATTTCATTTTCATTTCATTTCATACACTATTTAAATCAGCCTTTAGGCTCGATAGTCGGACTCGCTCCTGTTGGCCGTCAATCTGGCAACCTGTGCTTGCGTTTGTTTTGATACAACAATGTAGTAACTAGTTCAACCACTGGATTTAATTTTAACATAAAACTACATCACTGATAAAAAAAAAAAAAAAAAAAACTAAAACGAACCAATGTCAACAACACAACAACAACAACAAAAACTTTAAAAAATGATGTGTCATGCATTCAAAAAATATTTTTTGTTGCTTGTTCAAACTACTTATTTATAACAAGCTGAATCAACACAATTTTCCATTTTGGGGGTATAACTTAATTGTTTTATGTTCAATCAACTTCAATCAACAAATTTGTAAAAACAATTAGGTTAACTTAGTCAATTTATGTTGGAAATTCTGGAAGAGTCCATTTACGGTTATTCACAATATATATTAAGGAAACTTACAGTTAACCAGGTTGTGGATTTTTACTATTGCATTTTTAAAGTTTTCACCTTAAAATCATGACCATTTTACAGTGTACAAAAGAGAGGTTGTAGATCTGCTATGCAAATCCATTTAAATATCTATAGAGTTAAGATATTATAGATGTGTTTTTTTTCAACATGTCTTTAAGGATTTGATGTAATTGAGCTGTATTTTGGTCCTGCATGAAGATGTCTTCTGTTCTGTATGCTGTGCGAAGGGGCAGGAGCTGACAGTCAGACAGATGGCTCTTCTGGGCTTCAGGGATCTGGTCATAATGAAGCTCTCTCTGGCTGACCTGCTGAGCAACAATCTGTCTCTCATCCCAGCATCCATCACACAGATGCTACTTGTGCTACAGGTGAATGTTAACCGCAAACCCGTGGTGAATGACCATCTGTAGGACCACGCTATTCATGTCAGTTGTGTATGTACTGTATGTAAATAGGGAATTCAGGAATCCAGAGGTCCCTCAAAGGAATCCTGTCTGCTCGAGAAACTGGTAGATCTTGTGGTCTCACCTTATCTATGGAACTGCAGGCACACAAGTAAGAAAGCTAGAGTTTCATTTAACCTTAGAGAAACATATAATAAACTCAAAACATTACTTTCACTGCTTTTTCAACCTACTTATTTAAATGGTTAGAAACAACACAATTCTTAAGATTTTGGGTGGACAACTTTTTTTGTTTTAAATAGTTTTTTGTTTAATCCACTTATATATATATATATATATATATATATATATATATATATATATATATATATATATATATATATATATATATATATATATATATTTTTTTTTTTTTTTTTTTTTTTTTTTTTTTTTTAATGTTAAATTAATAGGTTTGTGTTGGGACAACATGAAGACCCAGCATTTTTTACAGTGTGACATAACATACACTCACTGGCCACTTTATTAGGTACACCTGTCCAACTACTCGTTAACGCAAATGTCTAATCAGCCAATCACATGGCAGCAACTCTGGTATACAGAAGAGAATCTCAGAATGCACAACACATCAAACCTTGAGCCGGATGTGCTACAGCAGCAGAAGACCACACCGGGTGCCACTCCTGTCAGCTAAGAAAAGTATACTGAGGCTACAATTGGCAAAGGCTCACTACAATAGAAGATTGGAGAAACGTTGCCTGACCTGATGAGTCTCGATTTCTGCTGCGACATTCAGATGGTAGGGTCAGAATTTTGCATCAACAACATGAAAGCATGGATCCATCCTACCTTGTATGTACGGTTCAGGCTGGTGGTGGTGGTGTAGTGGTGTGGGGGGATGTTTTCTTGGCACCCATTAGTACCATTTGAGCATCGTGTCAACGCCACAGCCTAGCTGAGTATTGTTGCTGACCATGTCCATCCCTTCATGACCACAGTGTACACATCTTCTCCCTCTTCCAGCAGGATAATGTGCCATTTCATAAAGCATGAATGGTTTCTTGAACATGACAATGAGTTCAATGTACTCAAATGGCCTCCACAGTCACCAGATCTCAATCTAATAGAGCACCTTTGGTATGTGGTGAAAAGGGAGATTCACATCATGGATAAGCAGCCAACAAATCTGCAGCAACTGCATGATGCTTACATGTCACCATGGACCAATATCTCTGAGGAATATTTCCAGTACAATACTGAATCTATGCCACAAAGGATTAAGGCAGTTATATAGGGCAAAATGGGGTCCAACTCGGTACTAGCAAGGTGTACCTAATAAAGTGGCCGGTGAGTTTAAAGTTAATTAAAAAATGTCCCATATTTAAAAGTTCCACTAGTTAAAGTTAAAGCAGCATCCCCACAGATCATGGCATTTCTGGAATCTTTTGACATTTTCAAAGGTTTATTCCAGACATTAAAATTCTAGAATTTTTTAAACAATTGTTTGCAATTCATTTAATGTCATGGATTATTGTTTGTTACTTTAAATTGTAGTTTCTATTTATCAAAATGTATGTGTATATATATATATTATTTTTTTTTTTTTTATTGCATTGTTTTATGCCTGATGTTATTGCTAGTCTATTTTTCAGCTCTTTTCAGTCAAGTACAGTACCTGGTAATTAAGGCTAACATGCCAGCATAACATACATTTTACGACCTTTTTGCTTAAAAAGTCATTGATTATTTTTAGTTGTTTTTTGCATGTTATATAATCAAATTAGATTTATTTCAGTTTGCTGTTTATTGTTTTACATGACTTACAGTATAGACGTTGCATACGCAGCGCACGTGATCTATTGGAGTGTCTCTCAAAAAATGACGCCTCACTCATTAAATTACATGGAATGGGGGATGAGGGAGCTTTTAGCTTGTGCAGTAAGCAGACGCGGATGAAGCTCGAGTGATTTACATGTGAAGTCAAAGCGAAGATAGGATTAGACATTGTTTGACATGCTTCAGACTGCAAAAGAAAGTGTGAGGAAGCATCTAAAAATTGAGCAATTAAACAAACAGATAGAGATTGGTTCACGGAAGACGGCCGCAGGACGTGAATTGAAGGACATCATTTGTGCTTTACATGTATGGCTATGATGATTAGGATGTGCGTCCATTTGTTAAATGATTTCATTTAGCTCTTTCCCTGCAGTTAACAAGAGAAAACGCTTCCCTGCCCCTGATGAGTTTTACGGCAATTCGTCTTATAGGTTTATTATGGTAGGGGAAGCCCTAATGCATGTCCTGAGTGAGGTATATGATGTCAGATGCTCCAGGGAGTGAAATCTGAGAAAGAGAAAGTAAGATCGTGGATAAAAATAAGAGTTATACAACCTTCCTTTGGCTTAATCCCTAACGTTTTAGATCTTTGACACGCTTTGTCTTTGTATCAGATTGCACACCTAACATAGTAGACTACCTAATGTGGTAAATAAGAAATTTAAATATAACAAATTATATATATAATTTAATTAATACATTTGTTATTTTTATATGTTTATATTTATATTGTCCACAAATTTCAGGGAATTACTGCCACAAAATCAGTCAATTTTATTAATTTTATTCTCTTTCTCTCTCTCTCTCTCTCTCTCTCTCTCTCTCTCTCTCTCTCTCTCTATATATATATATATATATATATATATATATATATATATATATATATAATATTATTATTAGCCCTCCTTTGATGTTTTTTTTTTATATATATATATATATTTCTCAATTGATGTTTAACAGAGCAAGGACATTTTCACAGTATGTCTGATAATATTTTTTCTTCTAGAGAAAGTCTTATTTGTTTTAATTCAGCTAGAATAAAAGCAGTTTTCAACATTTTTTATGAACCATTTTAAGGACAAAATTATTAGCCTCTTTAAGCTATTTTTTTCTTGATAGTCTACAGAAAAAAACACCATTATACAATAACTTGCCTAATTACCCTAACCTGCCTAGTGAACCTAATTAACCTAGTTAAGCCTTACAATGTCACTTTAAGCTGTATATAAGTGTCCTGAAAAATATGTAGTAAGATATTTTTGCTGTCATCATGACAAAGATGTTTAGAAATGTGTTGACAAAATCTTCTCTCAGTTAAACAGAAATTGAGGATTCAGGGGGGCTAATAATTCTGACTTCAACTGTATGTATATAGGAACAGACAAAAAGAAAATACTAATATTGCTTTACTAGAAAATATGTGAAAGATGTGTAGTAAAACTACTATCAAGCTATCAAATATGGCAGAGAGAACGAGCACTTTGCAAGCACACGAACAGTAAGCATTGCAGATATTTTTTGATGTAAATGATCCATTGTTGTTCTCATAGTGGCTATTAAAATCCTGCTAAAGGATATTCAAGCTTAAATCATTTCAATAATATGCAAAGCACAACAGCAGCCTGTTTTTCTGCTCATAGGTCATGGAAATTTAGTTTTTAAGCAGTGAAAATTAAGGGAAAAAATTGGCTCAGTTTTTCTTTTATAAAATATTTAGCTACATATTAACAACATTTTTTTTTAAATAGCCTTATATTTGCAGTCCCTTCAGAAATCAGCTCTCAAAGCTTCAGAGCTGGTGCATTTTTACATTGAAAAACTGGATTGTGAATGTTGCATTTCAGGATTTAAAGTCATAAATCTTCTATCATTTTATGTTAGGCTAAGCAATAAACAGATGCAGTTTCTGCCTCTAAAACGCTGAGCATGATCACCTTTTCACATCATGAAAATCTGTGGTTGACCTGATCCTGTGCTTAAAATCAAGGGCTTTATTTGAAAAAACACTTAAAGTAATTGCGTTCAATATTGTAATATATTAGTTACTTTAAAATCTATACAATAGTAGACTTGTTTAAACTGTTAAAAGAGTAACTTTATTAAAGTATATTTAACTGAATTCATAACATTTAATCTACACCAAAAACATTTAGCATGCTTTTTAAGAGTACAGTAACTAAATTGCAAAAATGTTTCCCCTCATAATTATATCAAAATAGTGCATAAAACCTTTACATGCTATTTACACATGTACGATAAAAAAACAAAACATTTTTGCACATTTTGTTCAAACTGCTTACTTAAAATAAGTTGAAATCTTTGATTGTTTTTAGAGACAACTTAACCGTTTTATCTTCATAAACAGATAATGTTTTATGTATAATCACCATTAACACATAATAGGTGAGTAATTAATTAATATACTGAAGAATGTTGTTAAAAAAACAGCAATTAACAAGGAATAAAAAAACATCAGTAAAATGCAGGGTTCCGCAGTTCATGCATGTTGTCCCAACTCATTGATTTGGTTAACTTAATTGTGTTTTCAAATTTAAGTTATTGAATTTAGAGGTGGTCTAAAGAGTAATTGTAAGGCTTGGTTATGTTTATAAGATGCTAAGCAATGTGTTCATGCTTCATTTGTAGAAAAATCACATTATTTTATCATTTATCTTGCATTGATTATATACTGCTACTCTGCTAACATGAAATGTTATATATATATATATATATATATATGGCCCATGCTTAAATCTGCCACTGCTTGTGCTTGCTCTCTAAAATAACCTCTGACAAGTGTCTTTCATATGTATTCGGGTTATAAGCACGTGTAAGTAATATGAAATGTTCACATATCAATTTTAACAAATGAAGATACTTACAGGTTGTGGCTCACAATCCACAGCTTATTCTATTATGGTTGGAGCTGCTTCTTCTTTGAGGAGTTTTTTTAGCCAAATCCAGCACTGACCTGGCAGTGCTGTCCATTGTCAAATATATATTTTATATAATTCTCTGGAACATAATTAAAATTAAGCTGTAAGCACTTTTCTCTTTGTGTTGCGTTCTGTGGTTTGTATTTGTGGAAATAGCAGCGTTTAGACGGCATTTTAGCTTTCTTTGCTGTAACAAGCGCTTCTGGCCACACCCCTTCGCTGCGCAGGGTGTATGTGCGTGGTGATTACACGTAACCTGAAGCATTCGTGATCACATTAGCCCGGATGTTTTTTTTTTTGTTTTGTTTTTTTTCTCGTAGTCCCCAAACTTTGTTCACTGTGCTAAGCTAACTCTGTAAAGGCTAAAGTCTCCCTTTGCATTGAACTTTGAGCGTCTTACATTCAGGGATGTTGTTTATGTTCACACAGCTACACATCAACTAAAGTTTAAAATATGATATCATAGTGGACCACCAATTAAGTTGTCCCCAAAAAAAATATCAATAATTGTGTTGTTTTGGCTTAATTTAAATGGGTAGTTTGAATAAGCAGCAAAATTTTTTTTTTTTTTTTTTTTGAGTGTATGAAAGTCAATAACTTCTTTTTTCCCCAACATTCCAACAAACAAAAAAAGAAATAAATCATAAAAGTTGTTTGGTAAACTAACCCTTTAAAGCTTTTACATGAGTTTAGCTCAAGTTAAAATACTATTTCTGTCATTTTGTGATTTGAAAGCCTCAGTTCTCTTTCACTTTCATAATGCAAAAAAGTGTCCCATGCGATTCTTTAAAAAACCACCCTTTTCCATGCAAGCAAGATTTACAAGCTGACAAAGCCAGTAAATAATGCTATTCTTATCATGGGTAAACTACAATTGTAAAGCCTTTTTCCCTTGTGTGAATCTATGACTTCCTCAAATTCCCCTATAGGCTGCAGTGACCGAAGCGGCAGCAGAGCACAGCTGAGTCACCCTGAGATAAAGATTACTCACCACATCTCTGAAGGCTCTCTGCTATCGCCTGTAGAGGAGCAGGAAGTAGAGGTTCACCTCGAGCGACGTCACAGTGTCACAAATGCTCACTCTGACATCCAGCTGCTCACAGTCAGCGGCAGAGCGTTTTCTGGGATAGAAAGCAGCTGTGTTGAGGGCATAGATGCGAGTAGGACACACCTGAGAAAGTGACTTGAAGTGCGCATGAAAAGACAGAAGGGACCAACAATAATTCAACAATAATTTATACAGACATATAAACTGTATAATGTGGTGGAAAATGAAAAATAAACACGAAAAGGGATGTCCTCAAGTGTCAATACAACTATCAGTTTAACTTGCTGATAGTCCATTAGTCCATTTGACGCCACTGGCTTGCTTGGTTTGGGACATGTGGAGCTGGATTGCTAAGGTGTAGCTAGGTGGTTGCTAATGTGTTTCTAGGGTGTTCTGACTGGTTGCTGGGCTGTTGCTAGGCGGTTGCTAAGGTGTTGCTGGGTGGTTGTGTAACGGAGGCCAGCTAGTAAAGTCTGTGCAGGTAAACCTCACTCCCCTGACCTCTAAAGGTGCTCTAGTGACAGATGTTAGAGGCCATGGTCTTTAGCCTCCTTGATAGAGCACTCTACTCACATGCGGAAGGTCACCGGTTCAATACCAGGTCGGAGCGGGTTGGGTGGCATAGGACCGGCGGGGTTACAGTTGCTAAGGTGTTCACTATCAGTTTAACTTGCAAAGCATTAGTCCATTTGAAGCCACTGGCTTGGTTGGTTTGGGACTTGTGAAGCTGGATTGCTAAGGTGTTGCTAGGGTGTACTGAGTGGTTGCTAAGGTGTTGCTAGGGTGTTCTGAGTAGTTGCTAGGCAGTTGCTAACATAAATTAGCATAGTTCTAGTATGAATTAACATGTTTCTAGCATAAATTAGCATGCTATTTGCATAGTTCTAGTATGGATTGGCATGCTGCTAGCATGTGTCTAGTATAAACTAGCATGTTGGTAGCATGAATTTAGTATAAATTAGCATGTTGCTAGTATGTTTAAAATATGCATTAGCATGTTTCTAGTATGATTAGTATGTCGTTAGTATGTTTCTAGTATGGGTAAATATTTTGCTAGTGTGGATTGGCATGTTGTTAGTATGTCCATCGTAAAGTCAATGGCAGTTTTTTTTTTTTTTACAATGGAAGTCTAGGACAGTTGTTAGGGTGCTGTAAGTGGTTGCTAGGGTGTGGATAGGAAGGTGAAAGGTCATCAGTGATTGGCAGATTGATAGTTTGGGTTAAATGAGCATAATCTTAAATCTGTATGACAGTCTGGCACAAAGTTATGAGGTCACAAAGTTTAGTCCAATGTTAAGTCAATGCGACTTTTCAGAATTTTCCGGGACAGTTTTAGAAAAACCATAAGTCGGATCAGTTGGAAAGGATATGGCAACCTAATTTAGTACAGTTCAGAGTTAGTTTGTTGGTTGTAGTATGAATGGTCAAGAGGGAGATGTATATAGATTCATTTTACAGTGTGTTGGCTTTCTCAAGCCAACATGATAAACATTAATTCATTAATTTCATTCACTTTCTTTTCGGATTAGTTCCTTTATTAATCCGGGGTCACCACAGTGGAATGAACCGCCAACTTATCCAGCATATGTTTTATGCAGCAGATCCCATTCCAGCTGTAACCCATCACTGGGAAACATCCATACACACTCATTCACACTCATACACTACAGACTATTTTAGCTTACCCAAATCACCAATATCACGTCTTTGGACTTTTGGAGAAAACCCGGCAGAAACCCACGCGGACACAGGGAAAACATGCAAACTCCACACAGAAATGTCATCTGACCCACCCGGGGCTAGAACCAGTGACCTTCTTGCTGTGAGGTGACAGCACTAGCTACTGCGCCACCGCATCACCCAACATGAATTGATTAAATAAAAAGTGAAGCATGTAGAACACTGCAACAATGGAAATAATCAGGCAGTATCAGGCACAAAATAAATGAAGTGACCAGAAGTTACATTAAAACATTATTATTTATAGGACATGAGATTAGTACATACAACCCTTTTCAGAAATGTTGTTGTGCTAGGTTTTGTCTCTGAAATCCAGTCATCACAATATAATTCCACCCAACTGGAGATTTGATGTGAGGGTGAAAGATTTACCCAGGCTGATATCAGAATGACTTCAAATGAGCAGCATTAGATGACAGAAAGCTGTTGGGACCATAGATTAAAAACCTAGTGAAAATGAATTTTCAGTGAAATGTTGCTGAAATGATCACACCTTAAAGGGGTAAATGTAATAATGTTTAAGCACTAAATGCTTTTACTGCCATTGTGTAAATACCTTATGGACAATATAAAAAAAATTCTCCATTTGGAGGTTGTCCTTTGAGGCATTATAAATTAAACATATTGAAGTGAACAAGGCTTTATTAGCTTAACTTTCATGTGTCAATTCAATATTTATTACCTCATCTGTCGACAAGACGCTGGTGAATTACAGAACTTTCAACCAATCGACACTGCTATGGTCAGATGCTTTCTTCACAGCAGTTTTCTCACTGTGGTAAATTTTGCTGTGTTTATTTTGTTGAGAAGAAAGCACACACTCTTAGCCTCACGAATGACGTTGATGTTCATTATCAGTATATTGGTTTGAAGCATAGACGGTAAATATTTTCAACTTCAACAACAAAATGAATTCTGAATTCTACATATAACCCCATTATGTCTATAAACATTTTAAAGCTGTTAATGACCTAGAGCATAGGTCTCAAACTCAATTCCTGGAGGGCCACAGCTCTGCAGTTTTGCTCCAACCCTATTCAAACACATCTGATCCAACTAACCAAAGACTGTTTCTCAATATGGGTTCTTTAGTGTTCTTGTGTCCTCCTGTAACATAATCATTAACTGCCAAAGTTCAGTTCCTAAACTCAAGACCGCAAGAATGGAGGACACATGAAATTTCCCAGATGTGTTCTTGATATCGTGGACACGACATTGCAGACTTAAAGGCAAAACTTGCTTGAGAAGTCCCAGAAGTCATTGCAGCTAAACAAAGGAGGTGGGAAGCGCAGCATTTTATATAGATTTATTAATAAAGGTCAGAGATAAAACGTATCTTTCCCTAAACAAGACAGTGGAAGTGAACATTACCATGAAAATCCCAACAGAGGCATAAACTCATTAAGTTGGTTGTTTATTTGCTGAAATTCATATTAAAACTAGAAAAGTTTGTGGACAAACTTTCTGGTGTCTTGAGAAAGCCTCGTCTAAAAGGTTGACGTAGTTTTTAAAAAGTTTGAAACGGTTGGCATAGAAAGATAACTAGATGTATGCTAGCATGTTTCTAGTATGGATCAGCTTGTTTCTGGCTAGGTGGTTGCTCTGAGTGGTTACTAGGCGGTTGCTCTGAGTGGTTACTAGGCGGTTGCTAAGGTGTTCTGAGTGATTGCTATGTGGCTGCTAAGGCGTTGCTAGGGTGTTCTAGGTGGGTACTAATATAAATTAGCATGGTTCAAGTAGGAATTGGCATGTTGCTAGAATGTTTCTAGTATAAACTAGCATGTTTTAGCATAATTTTAGTATAAATTAGCATGTAGCTAGTGTGTTTATAGTATGAATTATGTTGCTAGTATGGACTAGTATATTGTTTGTCATGAATTGGTATGTTGTTAGTATGTACATTGTAAAGTCAATGACGTTTGTTTTTTTTTTCTTTACAACGGAAGTCTATGTGACAGTTGCTATGGTGTCATAATTGGTAGTTAGGGTGCGGCTAGTAAGTTGAAAGGTCATCAGTGATTGGCAGATTGCTAGTCAGAGTTAAATGAGTCCAAACCTGACTGTATGACTGTCTGGCACAAAGTTATGAGGTCATAAAGTTTGATACAATGTTAAGTCAATGGGACTTTTACGACTTTTCAGGGTCAGTTTGGGGAAAACCGTAAGTTGGATCAGTTGGAAAAGATATAGCAACCTAATTCAGTATAGTTAGGAGGTTCGGAGTTAGTTTGGTTTTTGTAGAATGAACGGTCTAGGAGGAGATGCACATAGAAATTAGTCTCAGGAGACGACAGAAGCAGAAAAATAAGTTTATGTAGTATTGCAGTATGTTAGCTTCCTCAAGCCACCATAATGAGTTTCATTTGTATTGTGCAAAGTATACTTGTAAGGATTTTATGCATAGTATATATTAAGAAAAGGGGGGAAACAATAAATCATTGTACGAATGCTGTAATCTTTAAATAATTTTTCATTAAAAACATGTGAAGGTCATGTGACCATCAGGAAGAACCAGTGAAGAACACAGCATCTCATTTCTGACAGGACGCGTTTTCTATTCTCACAGTCTCCCTTGTGTTCTTGTGGTGACCGTTCTTGTCGAATTCCCTCGGAAGAATAGTCACCACAAGAACACAAGTCCGTTCTCTGCATTCTTGGAATTGAGAAACAGCCAAGGTGTTCAAGAGTAGTCTTAACCACCTTGATTAGTTGGATGAGGAGTGTTTGATTAGAGGTGGAGCAAAACTGTGTAGAGCTGCAGCCCTTCAGTAATCCAGTTTGAGACCTATGACCTTGAGGCTCAAACTTGCCTACAATCACAATAAACAGTGCTGCTCTGTACTCTGTCAGACATCTCTTCATTTAAAAGTATATATTTTACACAACTTCTAAGGCAGTATGAGCTGTTAAACGTAGTATCGTGAAATAAATTTGTGAAAGCTAACACTTAGCATAAGCAGCACCATTAAAACAACAGTTTTTACACCCTTAGCTTGGTTGACAATATTTTGTGAGTTGGGGATGTGATTCCTACAGATATTTGTCCACTGATTGCACTGCATAAATATGCATTGGAAAGCATTTGTAAATAAAACAAGATATTCAACCAACAGAACAAATGGGCATGGGTCAAAAAAACAAACAAAAAAACAGGTTTAGCTGTATTTCTGTCATTTCAGCAGAGTGTCTTTGAGAACTTAAGACTGAAAACAAAAAATTGCTCAAATTGAAGGTTCTGGTCCTCGAGGTTGAACACCTTCCCTCCTGAGACTAGCGTCAAATCGTGGTGTGACCTCACAGCGCACCAACAGCACGTCCTCTTTCACAAAACCACGCTGCCGCAATGCCTGCAGGTGCAGAAACGTCACATAGCCGAATCCTTTGGGGTTGCGCATCACGGTAGGCCTCTGGAAAGCCTGCAGGTCTGGCTTGGTCTCCATCACTTCAATATGGTGCTGCCCCTCTACCTGGTCCAGCACTGCCAGCCGAATGGTGCCCTGGAGGGGCCAGGAGAGCTGGCTGTCAAACTCACCCTGCATAGTGTGCACGAAAAGCGAGATGAAGTTAGAACAGCGAGGAGCACTGGGGGTTTGCAGGTGCAGTCGCAGGCAGAGTTTGTACCCAGGCCGGCCTGTGTAGAAGGGTGGGCTGTGGAGGACAATAGGCTGACCGGCTTCTTGGTTGCGCAGGTGGTGTGAGAAGTTCTCCACACGCCACACGTAGATGCCCTGGTACTGCTGCGCCTCCAGCTCTCGGGTGCTCTCCTCTAGTGAGACAAGCTTTCGCCGTAGCTCAGTGACCTGGTTTTTCTGCGTGTCGTTGTGGATGCACAGCTCCCGGATTTGCTGATCTTGACGGACCAGCCGACCCTCCAGCTCCAGTACTGTCTCTCGCAGGTTCAGGAGCTCCTGTTTGCACTGACAAGAATCTGGCGATCGGGCGGAGGCTCCACGATCATCTGAGGACAAGTGGGCAGCAGCTGAGGGCATTGTGCAGTTATTGAGAGTCTGGCTGCGGAGAAACTCAGCCATGTAACGCATGTGCATCTGTGTAAACTCCTGCATGTGCTGGGCCAGCTCATTTCTTGTCATCTGCAACATTTTAAAAGAAATTGACAGGTCTTTACATTGAAATGTTATACAGTTTTGACATTTATTACAGTCAAAGATGTATAGTAACGAAGTAGAACTACTGTACTTGAGTACTAAAAGGCTGTATCTGTTCTCTACTGGAGCATTGTTTTTTCTCCTACTTCCTCTTTTACTTCAGTACATATTTTCGATGAGTTTAATACTTTTACTCCGATAGATTTTTTATTTGCTGCATCGTTACGCGTTACTAGGGGTGTCAAAAATATTGATATCGGTTCAGTAATAGATCATAACCAGTTAATACGTGCTGACGTCATTTATCTCCTATGCACGATGTCGCATAATATGGCGAATGAATCTAAGGCGAGTAAATAGCGCTCTTACTACAATGAAGGTGACACAGCACACAAGCCGCTATTCCACTACTACGGAGAAATGCTGTAAAACTTCATCTTTACCTCTGTCTCTCTCTCTCACTTTGGACATTTGACCCGCTGTCCTGATTGAGGTAACTTTTCCACTCCTCTTGGCTGTTAAAGCGATACTTGTGGATCCAGAGACAAGCGTGCCTGAGGTGCAAGTTTTCTCCACTGGGTCTATTATGGATTACCCATGATAACCGCGTATTGTGCGCATACAGACTGTAACTGCAGCTGTTTTTCCTGCCATTGGTGAACAGCGCTTTCATTTCTAAAGCCGATCGCAGCCCTTTCTGTTAAGCAGGTGAAGACAATAACGAATCATAGAGGTGCAAGACCTCGCCTGTCAGCGCTCAAAAAGCGGGATGATATTTACATGAGTTTATTTGCTATAAATGCTCATGTTGTCTTCTGTGCATGTGTTGGAGTCTTGTTTGATACATTCAGAAAGAGATATTTTACTTTGAGAAGGTCAAATTAAGGGTACAGTTCATCTTACTGCTGTATTAAAGAACAAAATTGTATTACAATAATATATAACAGGGCTCGAAATTGCGACCATTTTGGTCGCATATGCGCCTGAAATTTTATTTATGCGACCTCAAAATATATTCGGGAGCACTTGTGCGAGTGTTAAAAATTGTTGTGTGCGACCAGTTTTTACTGAAAAATGTTCACCACATGCGCGGATTCGGGAGACATTCACGCAGAATGCATCTCTAAGCTCTTTGTCTGCACTTGAAACACTAAACGCAGTGCTCTGCAATGGTTTAAAACAGTTGTCATGTCGACTTGCTGCAGTAAAAACCAAGTCCGTAATGCTTGCCCCGCCTTCACGCTCTTCTTATTGGCCCACCACTGCTCTAGCACTGAACGCGAATGATTGGTTAATATCAGCTGTCAATCACTCAGTCAGTGCCTTCTTGCTTGGGATGACAGAGAGAGCTACTACCGCGAAAAACTGTAAAGAGCTGAAGATGAGAATGAAGATAACACTGACAGATTTTGTTTTAGAAACCATGGCATCTAAAGCTACAAATAATGACACATCTTAGTAGATATCATGTGCTGAATGTTAATCCACCATCTACACTTTTCCAAGAGTGGATAAAAGACTTCCATTGGCTTCAAGTTCGCTATGAAAAGTCTGTGGAATAGAATTTTCAGGTAACTGTTTGCCACATTTAGCACGAGAGCTATTTAATCCTTCATATAACCGCCAGATGCTGTCCGCTGTGCAAGGGGCAGCTATATGTCAAATTGAACACCACCTACACCATCGCAAACGGGCTTGCACTGAGTAAATTAATATCGCTACTCATAAAAAAAGACCGGTATTGCTATTAACATGATGTATGCATATAATAAGGTACAGTATATGTTAAAAGCATCAGTGCAATATCAGACAGCACTTGTGAGAACAGCAAAGTTATACCGTTAACAGATTCAAGCAGTGCATGCAGGGCCGGTAAGCGCTCCGTGTACCTTTCGTTCACTCAGTTACGTTATAAAAATCTATTTTCTTTGGATAACGGGATTTCGTTGAGACATATTTTCCTCACGCTTGGATATATATAAATATTTTTTGCTTGTTAGTTTGATTAGTGTTGATTTCAAATGCAATAAATATGTTTGTATAAAACTTGTAGTAACGGTGCTTATAATTGGTGGGTGCGACGAAATTTTGGCTGATGCGCCTAAGTTTTTAAAGTTAGGAGCACCGGTGCTACCAAGCAAAAAGGTTAATTTTGAGCCCTGTATGAATATATTTATAGATTTAATTAAAAAAATTCTTGTGTTGTGTAGAAAAATTCTAATTATGTATGGAAAGCATTGTTGATGCACCGAGTTGAACCGAACCAATGGCATGATATTCGTAACCGAACCAAAACATGAGACCAGTGTACATTCACACACCTACTCACTACAATTATGGACCTTTTTCTTGGCTGCCGCATCGAGGGCGCCATAGCGACCAGTGTCTTCCGGTAGAATGTTTAGAACTCCCATTTATATCATTCACAACCGGTAATTTGCGATCTAAAGTTTCAATAGTGTTTTGAGTGGATTACGGAGTGCTTTTGTGACACACAACTTTGAAAGGTGTGTGTTAAAGCTGTTATAATCTGTCAGATCTGTGGTTCAAGCACAAGAGAAAAACGTTATCATAAGCCATGTTTCTTTTTGTTCTGCTTAATCACGTGCCCACCAATAAAAAAGATTTTTAAATTAAACAAAACAATATGATGTCTTTAGACTGCTTTTTTAAATAACTACATTACACAATCACTTTCAGTACATGAGTAGTACATTTTGAAATACACTACTTGCAATACTTAAGTACAAAAAATGTTGAATACTTTAGTACTTCCACTTAAGTATGATGCTTAAATAGCACTTCAACTTCTACTCAAGTCACTTTTTCGATAGAGCACTTGTACTTTAACTTAAGTCTGGGTCTCTAGTACTTTCTATATCTCTGATTAGCTATACAACCTGCTGGATTTGCAACAAGTTCATTCATCAACTCCTCTTACATGAAAGTGGCTGTTTAAATGGGATAAGAAAAGAGAAAATGTTCTAGTTACCTAAAAAGTGTGTATGTGATGAAAAAAAGCACATCTTCTGATTGTTTAACAATAATTATTACTGGCATCAGGGATGGGCAGTAGTTATGATACAAGTATTTCAAACACGTTTTTCAAATACAAAATAGTACTTTGTCAATTGTATTTGATTGAGGTTATGAAAATGGCTGAATATTTTGTAGCAAAATACTTTAGTGTCTTGCATTTTTCATTTTTAAAATACTGTAAAATACTTTATAAGAAGTCTACGTGATGACATCTTACAAATGTGGCCTTTGATTGGTGCTTTCTCAGTTATTTGCCTAGGCTTGAGATCAGACCAAAAAACTGATTCATATTGAAGAAGGTGGTTAATGCTTGGAGTATGGATGGAAATTTTGCAACACACATAAAGAAAACAGACAAATAGAGTGGAGGAACTATGATGTCAATTTGTATGCAAAAACCCAGAAGTGAGTTAGCATTTTAGCAGTTCCGGTTCCCTCGTCCCAAAGACAATGGGTTTTTTGAATGGGGTATCAGTAAAATCGCTTAAATAAGGTCCGTGGCAAACACAAACTCAAGATACTTTCACGTTCAGCGGAGATACTTTCAGCGGAATGAACCACCAACTTATCCAGCACGTTTCACGCAGTGGATGGCTTTCCAGCTGCAACCCATCACTGGGAAACATCCATACACAGTCGTTCACACACATACACTACTGACAATTTAGCTAATCCGATTCACCTGTACCACATGTCTTTGGATTGTGGGGGAGCACCCGGAGGAACCCCACACGAACGCGAGTAGAACATGAAAACTCTACACAGAAATGCCAACTGACCCAGCTCGAACCAGCGACCTTCTTGCTGTGAGGCAACACCTACTGCGCCACCCCATTCATTTATTTCTGAATCAATTGTAACTTTTTAGTTTGACTTTTGCTCAAGTTAATGCATCCATGCTGAACAGAAGTAATAATTGCTTGCTTACTTTCTAAAAGCAAGGGTTTTGAACAGTAACTGTCTTAATCAAAAAGACAAATGTATGAACAACCTAAAGTGGTACTGCAGGTTATTAAATATTTTCTTATATCCTGTTTCTGCTATGCAATGATATGGCCCACCTTTTCACGACATCCAAAAGTGCTGAAAGTACAGGCCACAGGAGCTTTTAGACAGTCGGTGTCACAGTGCAGCGCCAACTGAAACCAGCAAAAACAGATTCATTCAGCTTCAGTTCCATAATGTACAAAGTATCAGCCAGAATCGACTACAGTCTTCAGATAGAAAGCATAACAGTGACACACCTGATCCCGAATGAGCTCCATTTCGCAATATTCACACACTGTATTGGCGAAAGGACAAAACTGTTCATGATTCTACACAAAAGAAAACATATGTTTAGATACAATTTGAAACTATTGAAAAGGGTTTTGCAAAGCATCAATTTTAGTCATAAAAACCAAACAATGGTTTTGTAATTAGATATAAAAGTCTCCAGTATGCAAACAGGAAACCATGGTTCTCCTTTTACCTGTTTGACAGCATACACAAAGCTCCCAGCACAGTCAGGGCAGGTCATAATCCGCTGTAAGCAATGCTGGCTCTTATGTTCATCCAGGTGGCTTATGGGAACAGACTCCTGACATTGAGGGCACGGCGCAGTGGCAAACCTGCACTGAGACAAGTGTTTCTGAAGGAAAGAAAGAGTGAGACAACACATTTAGACAAAACGCCACCATGACGGCTGATATTTAGCAATCCCATTTATGACTGCTCGCTATAGGGTTTTAAATGCCACTGATAAAAGGTCCGTGTTCATGAGGAGTTTATGCGCAGATTGAAGAACCCAGATTAACAGAATCTGAAAAACACATGGTTTTATAAACCATGCTTATTCAAAGCATGGATCGGTCTTCGTATTGAGCAACAACTGAGAAACATCAAAATAATACAACTCACCATAATATTCAATGTGAGCACTGAGTTTGTAGCTGCAACAATATGAGAAACTTTCGAGGGATGCTTGTTTTCCACAAATGCTATATTGGCTAAATCCAAGAACAGATGGCAGTGCCAGTGTTGAGAAAACATTCATTCATTCATTCATTCATTTTCCCTCGGTTTAGTCCCTTTATTCACCAAGGGCCACCACAGTGGAATGAACCGCCAACTACTGGGAAACATCCATACACTCTCGCATTCACACACATACACTACGGCCAATTTTGTTTATTCAATTCAACCGGAGCACCCACACGAAGCCCACGACAACACGGGAAGAACATGAAAACTGCACACAGAAATGCCAAATGGTCGAGCCAGGGCTCTAACCAGCAGCATTCTTGCTGTGAGGCGATCGTGCTAACCCCTAAAGCCTCGTTTATACTTCTGCGTCAGGTGACCGGCGTAACCCATGGCGCAAGCAACGCGCGTGGCTGTGCATTTATACTTCTGCGCGCTGTCTCTGTCGGTCTGCATTAACACTTCCGAAACGCTAGTTGGCAGTGAGGTGTAAATGTTCCTCTGTGTCAAGTTTCTTCACTGCTTTATTGCTTTTCCTGAACACTTCCGGGATGTACAAGTGGCTCAAACTCGCTCATTTTGAGGCAGGAACCGGCGGACGTGCAACAACTTTAACTATGAGGTAAACACAAAACAAAACTTTCCATCCGGAGCTCCTTCACGGGACTCCACACTTGTAAACAATCGCTCACGCCATTCGCGCGGCTCTCGGTCCCGCCCAAACTCGTCAGCGCTACTAAGCCGTCCAATCACAGAGCTTGCGCTATGCGTCGTAGCAACGTGTAGTTACAATTTTTGAGAGGTGCACGTCAGGCTATGAGGTGCACGTCAGGCTATAGCGCGAAGGGCTATGCGTCAGCGCCGTAGCATACGCCGGCGTTTGACGCAGAAGTATAAATCAGCCTTAAGCCACCATGTCACTCTGTTCAGAAAACAATGTTTGGAATAATTAGGATGTGACATGGCATGGCACAGTGTGTGATGTGCACAAATATGGATACTGGCTCTTAACAGGTTTCATATAGATTTTTGCTACGAAAATTCCAGGATTTTCCCATGAATTTTCCAAAACTTTCAGGTAAATATTCATGACCTAATATTTTTTTTTAAATGTCTATGTACATGTGGTAAATAATAAAAAATGTATATTGAAAAAAAAAAAAAAAAAAAAATATATATATATATATATATATATATATATATATATATATATATATGTAATTTTAAAAATCTATTACAGCATATTAAAAAAATATGTGACAATCTATGTAGTTTATGTTTATTGTAATACGTGTAAAATAGTTTTTAGAAAGTATCATGTTGTCTGCGTGAAAATATTTTTGGAAATGTTGGCTTGTGTTTTTATCTGTAGTTGGAGATTGTTTGTAAACACCACACTCAAAATGTAGCTTGAACTACAATGAATATGGCGATGTGTCTGAAGAGCAAGGAGGGATCCGGTGGTGAGTGGTGAGAAAGGTGCGTGACTTATTTGAGGACCAGAAAGGAGATTATCACTCGTTTGCGGCCATCCTGGAGTCTCTATGCATTTGCGGGAGACTCCCGGAACTTCCGGCTCAGCATCGTGTTGTCTATTGGCCATCATCAATGCACGATGGCATTGTCTATCGGCCCAACCCTAGCCAGCACCCGCTCTTTTTTAATGGTTATTGCGCTTTTGTCGTGTGCAGTGTTAATGCAGACAATCGGCTACGAGTCACTTTTAAAAGATGATGTAAGTGGATCATCAAAAAAATCTGACACAGTCACAAAATCGGAATTGACCACCAAGATCTGCAGTGTAAATGCAGCCGTAATGTAGACATTTATTTATCAGCTGGATGTTTCACAGAATGCAATTTTAATGTTAACTGTGGCTTATTCATTCATTTTCTTGCGGCTTAGTCCCTTTTTCAATCCGGGGTCGCCACAGCGGAATAAACCACCAACTTATCCAGCACATTTTAACACAGCGGATTGCCTTCCAGCCGCAACCCATTTCTGGGAAACATCCATCCACACACACACTCATACACTACAGACCCAATTCACCTGTACCGCATGTCTTTGGACTGTGGGGGAAACCGGAGCACCGGAGAACATGCAAAGTCCACACAGAAACGCAGAGGCTCACCAGCGGCCCAGCGACCTTCTTGCTGTGAGGCGACAGCACTACCTACTGCGCCACTGTGGTTCAATCCGAGAAAACATTTTTATTATTGACCTGTATTGCTAATTGCATTGTTTATCATGTCTGTTCTCCCCTAATAAACTTTGAGTCTGATAATGAAAGTTCATTGACCTTAGGGCAATTCTTGCAAAAATACTCCAAAAGTTTCAAATATTTTCTCAGATGTTTCCTTCACTCATTTATTTTTAAGGGGTTTTGTGGTGTGACTTTTGTTGCAAGCGCAAATGTTGAAAACACATCATTTAACACACATTCAACATGTCACAACAGCAAATTTACCTCTAATTGGCGCAACTCCATTTTTTCACTGCATCCAAAGTTAGAACATTTGACGGTGAGTGAGAGGATCTCTCGTTTGGCAAAGTTATCAGGGAAAAGCTGTTCCTCAAGCAGCACCTCGTTGTCAACTGGACATTTCTGCCCCGTGTCCCTGCCAGAAAAATAAGACATGTTAAACATGTAAATCCTGACAAATGAGTCTTAGGGCCTACTCACACTGTGCTATCCGAACCATGCCCAGGCCTGTTTCCTGGATCGTTTGATAAGTGTGAGTGCTCTGAACCGGGGTCAGGCACGGATTACTTGGCCCGGTTGGAGGAGGTGTGCCTGAGCGCGGTTCACTTGGGCTTTGGCGCGGTACGCTTTTGTTTGAGTGCAAAACGCGCCTAAGCCCGAAACTGAAGACGAGACGTGACTTTTAAGGGACTGGTTAATATAGATTAATTAATTATTCTTACTGTTCAATGACCGCAAACTGTCATAGTTTATTAAAGATGCCTTCAGCAAACCTCATAATTTCTGCAGCACGAGGACTTTATGATTGTTAATGAGCGTCAAAAGTGGCTGATCTGTTCGGTGAAATATTTGACTGTGTGTAACCGCATCCAAAAAGACTAAAACAATATAACTAGAGAAATCTCCACTGTGCTGAGTGAGAGCGTCCACTGAACAGGGCATCATCGATGACACAAGCGTGCCCAGGCCCGAATATAATGTGAGTGCGGGCCTTCAGGGTAGACGGGAGGGGGGACAAGCATGCTTTGGCTCGGTTCAAGGCAACTGTACATAGTGTGAGTACGCCCTTAAAGACTTAATGATTTATGGTGTTTTTTTTAAAAAATGATTTGACCGAAATCAGGCTTTTATGGCTCAATTGTATAATATATTGAATATCTGAAGATTAAAAGTCTTTGTAAGATGATATTTTAAAGCTTAGTTTTGTAATCAAAGCTTGTTTTCATAATGTGTGTGTGTGTGTGTGTGTGTGTGTGTGTGTGTGTGTGTGTGTGTGTGTGTGTGGCAGAGGGTTGGGAGAAAATAAAATGCAAAGCAAGAGAACAAGGGTTGAGTGATATATGTTAACACAAATCAAACACCTGATTTTGTTAACCCTTCTAGTAGGAGTTTTTCATGTTCACTTTATAAAAGTCAGTAAAGATCTCACTGAATTAAACTAAAATGTTCTTTAAGTATAGTATAGTTTATTTATAAACTAATTTTGAGAGGATCACATGGTTTTGATTGATCACAGCTGGTCCTGCATCAGCTCACGATTGATTCTCCAATCAGATGATTCCTAACTCACTATAAATAACCAGAGTTTTCTCATCTCAGTATCTTCGTCTCAAAAGAACAATCCCCCCCACCCCCACCCACCCCTATTCCCCCTCGCTTTTCAGATGGGCGACATGATGACAACCCAGTGATTAGCACTGTTGCCTCACAGCAAGAATGTCTCCAGTTAAAGTCCCCTCTAAACCAGTTGACATTTCGGTGCGGAGTTTGCTCGTTTTCCTTGGAATCTTCGGTTTCATCCCACAGTCCAAAATATCGATATCTACTGTACCTGAGCTCAAATTCCCCTATCGCCCTGCAAACGGGATGGAGCCCAGGGCTCGAGGATCTCATAAGCTCAGGGCTTCTCCTGGGACAGCATGCCAAACAAGCTTTATAATCAATCATCAGCTAAGTGTGAATTTAATCTTGAATTGCTCAAGAGTATAAAATGAGAGGTGTTCAAAATTTGTTTCTGGCCAACTGAACCGCACCTGGGCCCAGTTGGAAGAGGAATGCCAAAGCATGGTTCGTTTGAGTGACTAAAATGATATAACTAAAGCAATCTCCGCTGTGCTGAACGAGAGCGCTTCTCTTCCTGTTAAACCGAACAGTCGCATCATCGATGATGTAAATGTGCTCCGGTTCGGAAGGCAAAATGTAGTGTGGGTGCAGGCCATCGGGGGAGAGAGAAGGGACAATCGTGCTTCACCACGGTTCAAGACAACTGTACCTAGTGCGAGGATGTCATTAGAGAGGTCTTTGTCATGTTGCTTATTTAAAGAACTCTGTGCATCAAATATTACACACCTGATGGATTTCCTAATGCACGAGTCACAGAATCGATGGCCACAGGGGGTCTGTACTGCCGAGCGGAGACCCATCAGACAGATAGGGCACTCATACTTGCTCTCTAGTGGAGGGTCAAACTCTACATCATAGCCTTGCTGGTCAGGAGGCATACTAGATGAAACACTGATGGTGGACGGGTTCTCTGTTGGGCTCAGAAACGACTCCCTCTCCTTCTCCATAGCTGCAGCACAACTCGAGTGTCCGCTGTCACAGCAGACATCATCGAAGCTGGACTTGTCCACGTCGTTGCAAGCCATCTGTAATGATATTAAGATTACTTATGAGTAGACCCACATGAAATCTGTGAGTGCAGAAATCCTTGAGTCTATGTATTTACTTGTGTAAATGTATGTTTATTCAGTTTTTTTTATTTATTTAGTAATATTATTGTGGTATAATAATAGGAACATTAAAATGTTTATTTGGCTAATTTAAAATATAGTTTGTAAAGTAACTTTTCTGTCTTTTAGTGAATATGTTATATGACAGACTTGCTTTGTTTATCAAATAAGTGGATCAAATTGGATTTGCATTTTAAACATTAAATAAGAGTTTAAAAATGTATTATTTATTTATTTCACATATCAAGTATTTAGTTGTGATACTCCCAAAATCATTCCACATAAATCTGCAGATTTTTTTACAAAATTCTCTGCAGAAATAGAAAAACATGTCCGCAGATTCTGTCTGGTCCTACTTATGAGTGCAATTAGTTGACCATAAAACTGTCGCTCTGCATATGATGTACCTGAAGTGTAGAAACTGACCGCAAGGTTTTATGATAATCAACACAAGTAATTCAAAAATGACTTAAAAACATTTAAAAAATGAAAACTGACTGACTGGCTCAATATTTACTCTCCTTCGAGTGGTAACAGACATTTATGAGTCTCTTTATTCTGTTAAACAATAAAAAGATACTCTTAAAAAAAAAAAACCTAGAACCATTCAATTCAATAAAATAAAAAACAAATACTGTAGAATTGAGTGGTTACTGGTTTCCAGTTTTCATTAAAATATCTTTTGTGTTCAACAGAAGACAATCAAATTGGGAACAAGCAGGAATGGGCAGTATTTATAATACATGTATATCAAATACGTATTTTAAACACAAAATACTATTTTGTCATTTGCATTTGATAGGGTTGATGAAAATGGCTGAATATTTTGTATTAAAATACTTTAGTGTCTTGTATTTTTGGAAAAAAAAAAAAAAACAATAAATACGTTGTAAGAAGTCTACATGATGACATCATACAAATGTAGTTAATGTAATAAAAGACAAATGTAATAAAAGTTATTTGCCTAGGCTTGAGAACAGAAGAGAAAATTGACTAATATTGAAGATGTTGATCAATGCTTGAAGAATGGATGGAAATTATGCATCACATATAAAAAAAATAACAACAGACAAATAGCAGGGGTTAATTCGGGAGCAGGTCAAAATCAGACAGGAAAATAAGACAAATAACAGTCCTACAGTGGCGATACCTACAGAAATAAATTGGCTGATTTAAATGCCAGTAGCTAATCTGAAGGTGCTCTTACAGTTAATTACAAACTTTGACATAGTTAATCAGTATGAGACAAAAATATTAAAAACTGTTGCAGTTTACTGTTCAAAAACTCCCCATTTTTTGAGAAATCGTGCTTTCTATTGTATTTTGAAAAGTTCATTTGCAAAAAAACGGTTTATGGAAATGACTAAAACTATTAGTAGTTTTCAGAAATCGTCATTTTACATGGACTATTGAAGATTTTAACTTTTAAGAGATGGTGGCAACTTTCACAATCAAAAGATATAGTACTATATTCTAGGGCTGGGCAACTTCAAGAGATCAAAATCTTGATTAAATGAACATCTTAACCTGATTACAATTAATAAACGATCATTTTATTTATTTTATGCCCTCATAGTTCACTGACAAGTTTCGTATGGTAAAACTGCTCAACTTACAAGTGAGAGATTTTTGAATGCATTACTTGATTTACAAATAATTGAAAGAAACACACACTATCTACTGTGTATAATTATTTACTGAATAATGCTGAACAACTGAAATTAAAACACACATTGCCTAAAAACTGTCTCTCTGCACTGCCTACCGTCATAACCGCTACCAAATAGACCAATCACAAAGCTTGCGCTATGTGCTGTTGTGATGTGCAAGTAAATTTTTTTTAAAGAGCCCATATTATGGGTTTTTGAAAATTCCCCTCCATGTAGTGTGTAACACAGCTCTAAGTGAAGTGAAGTATCCAGCTAAGGCTTAAATCTGTAAGTGTACAGTGTTTAAAACGGTTGATTCATCTAAAAAAAGAGTCGACTCATAGTGCTTCAAACGAGTCGCCTTGATACCGAGTCATTAGGTGTTTCGCCATGACGTACGAACGAAACCAAGTTATTCACGTGCACGCGCAAACCTCGGGAGTTTTCGAACCTGAGGCCCCGCCCCCTGACGCAGAAACCCAGACACACACACACACACCCACAAACACACGCACACAAACATGCCGGTCGATTGAAGTCACACTGCAGATGGATATTATATCGAGTCTCTACCCAAAGATGAAACCTCAGCATTATAACCAAGCAGTTGAAAACTACTGGAAACTTCTGCAAACTACATGCTACCAAGAATACTTCATCGGCGTTTGTTAAAGGAAGGATCAGTAAAGAGTAACTTACTGCTGGACGTCAGGATGGGTTTCTTCCTCCATTCTCAAGTGTAAGTATGTGCGATTAAAGTTGTTGCCTCGTTGACTCTACCTTGCAAATGTATTTAGTTGTGATTTGTTACTTGTAACCGAGTGTACTGTATCAGGTTAACTGGCTATATTCTGTTATCCCGTGCAAAGTCACGTTAAAAACGCGACGCGTGCTGCTTGGTTTACGGAGCTCCGTGGACGAGGGTAGTGTGTGTGCACGTGCGCTGTCGTCCGGAGGTATGTGTGTGTGTTTGTGTGTGTGTCTGTGAAAAGAGCAGAGTGAAACAAGCTATGTGATCTCCTCGACAGTTTTTGGAGTTTTTGCTCAATAAAATAGTCGTCTGAATTTTCAAGTTCATCGACTGTATTTACATTGACCCACTGGCAGCTAAAATCCACGCCTACACTATCGAGCGTGTATGAACTGTGATTACTTTTATATTGCTGATTAGCTGTTTGGCTTTTCACTCTGACTGAAGGCAGTCGACCAATCGCAATAGGCTGTCATTGGTCTAATCACCGCAGATTAGCTTCGCGCTAAGGAGGGGTTTGGGAACAAATGAATCACTGGACGATTCATACAGGAGTCGCTGGGATAATTAGGTAAAAATAAATGCAGATTATAAGACCACGAAAGTGTTTTTTGACCTTGCATGCATATTAAACTGTTGTTGGAGACCCTTACAACTAAGGGTGCTTTCACACCTGTGAATCGATTCAGTTGTTCCGAAACAGAGATTAGAATTGTTACATTGTTGCTCTTTGCTCTTGGAGCGGTTCGCTTTCACACTGCAAAGTTTCTAATCGGACCAAAAGAGCTAAAACAAGTCACGTGCGAGTAAACTCTCCTCACATTGGTCAGAGTGTCAGGGTTTATTTTGCAGCGTCACGCTCAGCTGTCAGGAGAGGTGGTGGTTTGGTGGTGATTGACAGGGTGTGCGCGCGTGACGTGTCTGAGGGAGAGACACGGTGGGGAGGGGTGAGAAGGGTGCGCGATGATGCCTATTTGAGGACTGGGAGAGAGACACAAGATTACCGGGAGATCATCACTTGTTTGCGGGCATCCGGAGACTCGCGAAACTTCCCGCCCTACTCATAATTCTCTCTTCATATAGCCGTAAGCCTATTACATATCCATAAAACACTGTGATATAACCGCGCTCGGATCGGATCGCTTTCTCACTGTAATCGAACCGCTCCAGGGTTCGTTTCAATCGAGCTGAGACCACCTCATTCAAGCGATCTCGGAGCGATTACTTTGGCGCGGAACAGAGCGCGATTGCCCTGTTCACATATGCCAATCGAACCGCGCTAACTGGGCAAACGAGATACGTTCCGAAACAAAAGTGTAGGTGTGAAAGCACCCTAAGATATGACCCTATTTCATGTATAATATGGGCTCTTTAAAGAGGTGTGCGGGTATGCGAAGATTGTGGCATACTGTACTCATGGCATGCCCTTGGCAAAAGTATAATAGTATAATAAGTATAACACATACTATAATAAGTATAATTCAGCCTTAACAGAGCAAGGTCACGTGACTCCACACACATTAGGGAAAGTAATAAAAAAAATAGACTTGGAAAAATTTGATCGATTAAAAATTCTGAATGTCAATTTCGATTACTTTCCAATTAGTCGCCCAACCCTACTATGTTCCAACTCATTACCTGCATTAAATTGTTGGTACAATGATTAAAGAGATAATATTCAAGACAGTACTTTCTTTATAAAATTTGTACAAAATCGATGCTAAAATCAAATCTAAAAGATGATTTTTTATTAATAAAACTTACATTTTTTATTCTTACAGTAAAGGTGATAAGGTGCAGAGAAGCTGACTTAAACTTGCTCAGAGGAAAGCTGTTGCTGTCAAACACTGTTTACTTCATTTAATCAGTTTAATGGTGAAGGGATTGATCCAATAAACCTATTGATAGAAAATTTGTACAGAACGTCATGCTCACTTGTAAAAGTATTTCGTAGTATTTTCAAAATACAAAATACAGCATTTTATTTTGAAACATTGTGGCTGCTGTATTTTGTAGTTTATTTTGATACACGTAAAACTGAGCTATTTTTTTACCTATCCCTGGGAACAAGTAAGGTTAAGGTGAGTAAATGATTAGATTTACACGTTTTTGGTGAATTTATTTTAAATACACAGAGAAAGTGGCAGGGAAATAGATAGCAGGCTATGATTTCTGCTGTAATACAAAAGCTATGGGTCGATAAAGACCCAGAAATGCATTTTAATTTGATGTTTCCTTTTGGGCACCCGCCTGGGAGGGGCTTATCGTTGAGGGTTGAGAAGATTACTTTAAAAATCTAAAATACACCGGGTAAACGTTATCTTAAAATGTATCCAAAAATGTTAGCTTACCTCTCGTTTAAATCTCAAATTAAATGCATTGAATTTAGAGGAGAACACAATTGAGGGTTACATCAGAAACTTTCCAGCTGTCGCCTATGGGACCACACATGTATATCAACTTGACATTGTTGTTACATTACAAAACCTTCTTAGTATAAAATACAAATCGTTTATAGACATATATTATTCGTAATAGTTTTCATTTACTTACATTGGCTCGGTACGGCCTCGCGCGCCTATACTGCTGCTTCCTGTAAAGTTACTCTAAACATCACTTGCGCAACGTCACTGGGTCAAAGCGCCTCGTGACTGTTCCCAGACCAGCTCTTACTATGGCAAGCCGTTTAACATTTAATCTGAAGCCGTTCTAGTATCTATTCTATTTTCATTTTACTGGTGCTTATTTTTTAGATATTATCTTTTCCTTTATGTGGTGCTTTTTAAAAGTGCTTACTCATTAGCAGGTTCACACGGAATCTGCGCACGCAGACTTTTAGCCCATCATGAAGTATTTACTCGTGTAAATGGATTTAAAAACTGAATAAATATAAATGTACACCGGTGTACATTTATATTTATTTAGTTTTTAAATTCATTTCACTAATATTATTATGATATAACAATAGTAATTTTAAAATGTTCAAATTATCATGTACAGTTTGTAAAGTGTCTGTCTTTTAGTATAAATTCGAGAGACTTGCTTTGTTTAACAATTAAGTGGATCTAACTGGATTTGCATTGTAAACACTGAATAAAAGTTAAAAATGTATTATTTTTGATTTCATAATTTTATTTTATATTATACTCATTAGACACTAGTTGTTTTTATTAGATACTACTCATTCATTACCTTAGATACCTATTATTTAGGTACTAGTACTTAACTATTAGATACCAGTACTTATTCATTTTATTTATTAAATAGTGTCTGTTTAATGGGTACTAGTACTTATTCATTAGGCCAACTATAGTACTTTTTACTAGTATTTATATATCATACACTATCTTTTATAACTAAGTTTTGGGTTAATAAAAATAAGAATGAAATCATTAGAATGATTTATTGTAGGACACAAATGCCTCAAATGCAGCTTTAACATCATTGGGATAAATTATATTTTAACATATTTAAATGGAAAAGTTAGCATTTTAAACAGGAATAATTATTTACAAGGTTACTTTTATATCTGCATTTTTATAAAATAAAGCAGTCTTCTCCCAAACCTTTGAAAAATAGTCCATGTTGTCTTTATATTTTTAGAAGGCTTCATTTATTACTGACTTTATCTTTAAAAATATGTAATTATGCAGTTAAAGTAATATTGTGCTATTTTGCCTCATAGTAGAAGTGAAGATTTGTTTCATGTTAAAGCCACAATGGCCCTGCATGTTCATAACCACACTTCTTTCTATGAGTGCTATACTGGGACATTTTGTGCCTGGACTCAACTTAGTGTTAGTGGGACCTATTTTGTTAATTACTAAATACCCACATACCCGCATACTTCTAACCCAGATACTGTGCACCAGTATACCTATACTTTGCCCAGTGTGGCCATATACACTTCACTTTGTGTGGACTTGTTTTGGGCCCACAGTGGATTTTGGTTTTGTGTGGGCCAGCCCACAGTTTGGTCTGGCGGCATTTTGGTCTAGGTATGTTTGTTTAGAAATTTGTGCACTAATACTGTACATGAAAGTGAGCATTAGCAAACTGCATAATACATTCAAATCTATTGTATAGTAGACTAAGAGAGACAATAGAAAAGTGTATCTAAATTAAGATATAAATTGGATCCCATTAAAATACTGTAGAAATTATCCTAAAAGATTTTTATGTCTTGTCCTATAAAACAATCCTTTAAGAAAAAAAAATCCCATTGAAATCCAGTAGGAATGGTTCCAAAATATGATAAAAATTCTAATTTGATTCCTATAAAGAAATCCTATTGGAATCCTTTAGGATTTTTCAAAACAATCCTATAAGAAAGCTCCTATTGGAATCCTATAGGATTTTTTTAAAGAATCCTATAAAAAAATCAAGAAATTTGAATTGAAATCCTATAAAGAAATCCTATTGGGATCCTTAAGGATTTTTTGATTAGGGAATTCTTATTTTACTAGTCAGTTCTGCTTTTTTACTCGTCTTATATGAATGAATTTCTGGAAATGGAAGAGTAGAGTTCAATTAAACATTTTATCAGTAAAATAAAGATTTTTACTAGTAACATTTCAAACAAGTACTAACTTATAAATGTCCACTAGTATCTTTTAAATAAATTGTAGTATGTATTTTACAAGAACCATCTATTTAATAATAGTATCTAATTAATTAGCACTTTCTCTACTAAATTTATACTAGTATCCACTGAATTAATACTTGTTCCTAATGAATAATTACTATTATCTATAAAAAAAAGTGCTAGTATCTATATTAAGAACTATCTTATTAATAAGTAACTATGATTACCTACTAGAACATAAAAATATGTACTAGTCCGAGCTGGAATACATAGTCAAAGCTGAATAGTTGATATCTCAATGACAGATCGAGAGAGAATAGTAGTCACTATTAAAATAAGAACTATAGCTGAATAGGAACTAGTGTCTATTTAATGAGTAGGCTATACCTAATAAATCTAATGGATAAGAAGTATATAATGAATGAGTACTAGTTTATAATGAATGAGTAGTACTTATTTATTATGTATAGTTCCTAATTAGATTGTATCTAATTAATAGGTAGAATCTAATGAACGAGTAGCTACTCACAGCAAGTCACTGGTTCGAGCCCCGGCTGTGTCAATTGTGGAGTTTGCATGTTCTCCCCGTGTTTATGTGGGTTTCCTCCGTGTGCTCCGGTTTCCCCCACAGTCCAAAAACATATACAGGTGAATTGGGTAAGGCAAGCTAAATGGCCCGTAGTGTATGAGTGTGAATGAGATCGTATGGTTGTTTCCTAATGATGGGTTGCAGCTGGAATGGCAGCATTAAACATATGCTGAATAAGTTGGTGGTTCATTCCACTGTAGCAACCCCAGATCAATAAAGGGACTACTAAGCCGAAATGAAAATGAATGAAAGGATGGATGCAAATACTACGGGTTATAGATTAAATGTTAATACGGCTTGCCATACTCTTACAACTTAACTTCTCGCGTGAACTGTATCGAGGTAAATAGCTGTCTGTTCTTCTCAGTTTTGTGCTTTATTAGATTTACTAGATCATTCGTTTATAACAGAAAAAAGGGAAAAATTTCCCGCAAAGGGAATTTACATCTGGTTATGAATAGATCCATAAACCTGAGTCGTATGACATTTTCTTATAAAATAAGCGTTTTTCCTCCTGCCTCCCATGTTTGTTTCGTCATTTCACTTTAAAGGCAGTGAAAATAACTTATTAGCATAAACATGAAACTGCTAAACCTACACACATGAGCCGTGAAAAATCTAATTTTAGAAGAACACTTTAGACAGCACTGTCTATTCACATTTAATTCCACAAGATGGCGCTGCTGCCTCTGATTTAAAATAAACAGCAAGGCAAATGATATTTTCATTTTTATTCATGAATGAAAATATACAACCACAATCAATAAAAGAGAGGTACGAGAGAGGAAAATGCAAGTTACATTAACTGGGGAGAGAAAAAAGACTAACAAAGAAAGTGGTAAGTGAATTACAATTGTACAAAAGTGTATGAAAATAAATTAAGAGCATTATAGGAAAGCTATCTAACTCAAAGCAGTCAGTAGACAACAGTTCTTCATATAGTTCCAAAAATCTGACAGTTTTTGTTGTCACACATATGGAAATCAAATGCATGAGCAATTGGAAAAGTATGGATTGAAGCCATGCACTTTTGTTTCTGTAAAAAAAAAACTCCAAACAAGATAAAAAAGTTGAAGATAACTTCTTAAAAAAATTTTTTAACTAAATGAGTATGCAAAGGTAGGAGGGCTGTTCAAATAATGATACAAGTCTAACCAAAATTTCTGGACAAATTCATAGCTACAAAATAAATGTTTTAAAGTTTCATCATCCTTCATCAAAAAAAAAAAAAAAAAAACATATTTGGAAATTATTTGGTTAGCCGGATACATTTTATACTATATTTTAAAGTGGATTTCTTTAGTTTTGGTAGGAAGAACTACTACAGTACAACTACTGCAATAGTACTAAAGTGATTCTACAACTACGATAATGCAGTACTGCTATTGCGATACTACTGAAGTACTACTACAGTACAACTGCAGCCTACAGCTACATTTCCTGCTTGCTGGACAATGGTTTCTAAATGAGGTTTTAGAACTTTAGTTGTATTGCTGAAGTACTACTGCAATATATCGTATTGCACTTTACAGAAGTGTACAGAAATACATCTACAATACTGCATAACATAATACAACTAAAGTGCACTTTTAATACTTATGTATCTAAGTGCAATTATATAAAAACATCACTATATTGCCCCTCTCAGTTATTTAATGTTACTTCAGTTGCACTGCAGAGTTTACTGCTGTTAAACTATATTGCTTTATAGTTAAACTGTCTTTATACCTTATTATACAACAATTTTGCAGTCACATTGAATTTTGTGTTGTATTAGGCTACTGCTGTTGTACTGTTCAGGTCACTGCAGTTATTTTTTATGATTTGTTTTCTTAAAATTCTATTTAGACAATTACTTGAATCCAAAAAACACATCCCTGAAAATGCACAAAATATTCTTGGAAGATGTTGAAGAACATACCCATAGGAACACAAGTGCAGTGCAGTTTTTACCACACCATTGGCATACACAGCATGGCAATTGCAGTAAAGACGGAGTTTACTTGTTTTTACTCCAGTTTACTGCAATTTACTGCTGTTGAACTTTATTGTACTGGATTTGCACTATGTTTATACTTCAGTTTATTGCAATTTGGCTATTGTACTTACTTTTACTGCAGTTATACTTCTGTATACTGCTGTTGTACTTTTTGTAATCTGTCGTGGTTGGTGTACTTCATAGAGCACATTTCTGGATTATGGATTTTCAACACAGCTTTAGCTTATCAATTAAAGCCTGAGTCTGACGAGGAACCAATCTTAAAAATGAAATATACAAAAAATCTGACAAAAATATAAAAAATATAAATTCTGTGAACCATTAATTGTTTGTTTTGAGGTTGCTTTGCTGTAGCGGACAAGTGACGGGGAAACACAGGATTGGGACTTCTATGTACAT